TTACAATAAGAACATTTTAACAACAATCCCATATACCTGGGATCTTGCAGTGTGAAACATAGTCTGAAGCACATGTAACACATGTGGTGTCTGACCCGTGAAGATCCGGGGTAGAATAGGTCTTCAGCAACCCATGCTTGCCGTAAAAGGCGACTATGCTTGTCGTAGGAGGCGACTAACGGGATCGGGTGGTCAGGCTCGCTGACTTGGTTGATGCATGTCATCGATCCCAATTGCGTGGATCGATGCTCATGATATTAATCACTTTATTGTTTGGTCCAGACTCGATTATATACAGAGCGCCGTCATATAGCTGGAATATTGCTGAGTGCGGCGTTAAACAACAAAACAAAACCAACCAACTAACAGGTGGTGTCTCATTGGATTAGTGACTTTGTTCGAAATGTGCTCCTGTTCAGCCAGCAGTGAGTGGGTACCCGGTAGGATGTGATGGCAATCAGGTTGTTAATCTTCGAGCGCCCAACAGGCAGCGTTGGGTTGCATACTCCCCAGGGAGCTGAGAATGATTGTTGAGTGCACTCGATCCAGTGAAATATGCGGAATATAAATAGCCTGTTATTTGTATTATATTAACACCATATTCAGAGGCGGATCCAGGGTTTTTGCAAAAGGTGGGGTGCACACTATACACAAGTCACGAAGTCAACAAACTGACATGACAGGGGTGAAGGGTGGAAGGATGCGCTCCCCTTTTCCCGCAACCCCCCCCCCCCCCCCGGATCAGCTATTGATATGTCACCCTACGTCAGAAGCACCTGCACCTTTAATGATAATGTTCCTTCTTCATAGCTAACGCACTGATGTTAGTTGTGCCAGGATAAACTGTATCGACACGGGACGGAATTACTTGTATGCATAACGGGATAAACACAAGAATCTAAAAATACACCATAGATCTTTTTGTTCCCCGGCATGTGTGAAGACCTGTCTACTGTGATAAATGCTGATTACCTAGGACATCCCCGCCCAAGCCGCCATCTTGGTTCTTCGCATATTAGCAGTTACCTCCCTTTGAACGTAGATCTGTACGCATTTGGAATCGCTTACCCGACGGGAACGTGTAACGCAGGTCATGGTTATGTTGGAATGTTCGTCCAAAATGTCGACCCTTACGTTCGGAGCGGTGTCAGATCTGTTGCGCACGTGCAGACCACGTGCGATGAACGTGCAACAATGCGTTGCGAGTGTGCGGTAGATGACATTAGCCAACTACACGTGTGGCTGTGATTAAATGTGTTTTCATCTCGGGGTATTATACAGCTAGTATAAATAACACTCCGGGCCTAGTAGCAAGACCCAAACTCTCAAACAATCAGTACTTTATTTACCAAAGTTTGAAATCTTAATACGATTTTTTCCTGAAATCTTGAAACCATAATTGAAGGGTGCCGAATTTCCCGTTCGTCATGCGAACAGAAGAATGACGTTTAGATTGGGGAATTAAGTTTGAAAAGGCACAGTTTTTATTCAACGCGGAACCGATAATATTTTTCATGATGAGAATTGTGTCAACGTTTGCCAGCTACCATGGAAACGACGTGATGTTCGTCATGTGGTTTGACCTCGAATGTCATGCCCTCATTTTCCAAACCTGATAGAATCGCCGTTCCAGATACGCCGAGTGATTGAATGTTGCCTTACGCCGCAAACAGCTATATTCCAGGTACATCGCGATGACCTGTGAATAATCAAGTCTGGACAGACAGTCCTGTGAGCATCGAGATACGTTGACACGCTGTCAGTTGAATCCCCGTGCAGGACCTCCAAGCAGGACCACCGTACAATCTTTAGTCAGTTAACATGGGATACTGGAAACCATTTATATCCGGAATCCCCCCAGTCCGAGTGTGTGTGCAGGGTTCCCAGAGGGGACACCGAGGCTTCAGATGTTCTTCCCGTATTAGAAATCGAAGTCTTCAGTTATGGAAAAAGGGTGGCGGGTAGTGGTTAAAGCGTTCGCTTTTCACGCCGAAGACCCGGGTTCAATTCCCCACATGGGTACAGTTTATGAAGCCTATTTCTTGTGTCCCCCGCCGTGATATTGCTGGAATATTGCTAAAAGCGGCGTAAAAACAAACTCACTGGCAATTATGGACAAATGTAAAAACCGTTGGACTCCCGTAACGCCTTGAGAACCTATGGCGGGTCCCGGACAAGGTTGATTTCCAGGCTAGCCCGTGGCAAGAGAGTACCTAGGTTGGACAAAATAGCAGATAAGATAACCGATTTATGTGTTCGTGCACATTTGATTGCTAAAACAAATGTTTATCCTATTCCGAAGAGCAAAAAACAACACCATTAAAAACCAAGCAACTCGATGTATGGCAAAAACTGAACCCATTTGCCGCAAAAAAACCAACAAAGTGCATATAAAGAGTATTACTGGGAACAAAGGATGTCAACTTGATATTCTTGAACTGCCACATTTCCTCGCCAACAAACATCCGTTACGTCAGCATGGCTTATATTTGTTTTGCAGTGCATGTGCACCAAGGTCTGACATTGTATATACGCCATTAACACATCGATACCACGTACAGTATCTGCCGCAGTCGTAAATAGGAAAGTTAGGTATAGAGCTTTTGTCACATGGTACAAACTTTAATATCACCCCTTTGAGAAGGTTTACATTCGTTGCTATATGAACATTACAATTTTGTATTCTTAATTATGTACATATTTATGATCTTTTATATAACTGGCAATTGTGATCCCACGGGTGTACAGCATGTTATATGTGTTTCTTATCGTGATTTTTGTAATAATGTTAAAAGCGTATTATAATAATAGTCAAAATAGAAAATATGTCCACATTTATCCACAAAAAAACATCGACACCCCATCATCACCATCACCATCACCATTGACACCGCCACAGCCCAAATATCCTCAAAGAGGTATCCCTTGATCTGCATCCAACGCCAGCATCACAACCACTGACACCTTCACGACATTACCAGAACCATCGGCAATATCTCAAACACCACCCACAGCATCCCGAAAAACCATCCACAACATCCCAAACACCACTCACAGCATCCCAAACATCATCCCAACATACACAACACCACTCACAGCATCCCAAACACCACCCACAGCATCCCAAACATCATCCCAACATACACAACACCACTCACAGCATCCCAAACACACAGCATCCCAAACACCACTCACAGCATCCCAAACACCACCCACAGCATCCCAAACATCATCCCAACATACACAACACCACTCACAGCATCCCAAACACCACTCACAGCATCCCAAACACCACCCACAGGATCCCAAACACCACCCACGGGATCCCAAACACCACCCACAGCATCCCAAACATCATCCCAACATACACAACACCACTCACAGCATCCAAAACACCACCTAGAACTCTTTTGTTCATTCGCATACTGAGTTTGCGAACACTGATTCGGATCACTTATGGTGTATGTTTGGAATTCGAAACGAATAATAAATAACAAATGATTAAAGTTCCATTCAAGAACCAATCAAGCCCGAACAACAATGCTATGTTTCAACAAATACTCACGAACGGTATCCGTTCCCAAAGAGAAAATGACAAAAATCTTCCAACAGTAGCACATGTGATATTGTTTAATATACCTTGTCACCAGTGTCCGGGAAACGAAATTGTTGATGGCTACTGGCTGTGCTATACATCACGGGCTTTGTGTGTACAGTTTCAACTCACAACAATAGTATGACACACCGAAAACACAGTAGACATGCTCTATAGATACCCCAGTATCCACGGTATACCAAAAACACAGTTCCTCCTTGTACAAATGAGCTATGGGCACAGCATCCAAATGCCTTAGCACAGGTGTGTACCGTCATTCATCTACAGTGTTTTTTACCTGTGTGTTTTGTAACGCTACACCTCTCTTGGCTAGCAAGGCTCTGTAGATAAAGTGTTGAAGAAATATTTGTCTTAACTGAAACCTACCTCTTAACAGCGATACGTACCATATGGCATTGGACGGCTCTCACGCTGGTGGTTTCAAACGTAGCTAGCTGCAACATCATACACTGAAATGTGAACCTTCATATCAGACGGTGTTGCCCTAAAGAAGCGAATGCAAGATTTAGTGTAAATCAAATTTAAATGGAGAAGGCTTGATACAGTGATTCGAGAAGGCGTTTACGTTTGGTTATTTTGGTGCATTTCAAATGAGTTATGCAGAAAGATATGCCAAGGTCGTACATCATCGATGCGGAAGGTGCTTTAACCCTGACATAAACCGTATAACAAAGGTTTTGGTAACGTTAATGTATGTATTTGAGTTTAACAAGAAGATGCCTCAAGGTTAAATATCATCGGGTGCAGAAGGTGCTTTATCCCTGACATAAACCGTATAACAAAGGTTTTGGTTACTTTAATGTATGCATTTGAGTTCAACAAGAAGATGCTTCAAGGTTAAATATCATCGGGTGCAGAAGGTGCTTTATCCCTGACATAAACCGTATAACAAAGGTTTTGGTTACTTAAATGTATGCATTTGAGTTCAACAAGAAGATGCTTCAAGGTTAAATATCATCGGGTGCAGAAGGTGCTTTATCCCTGACATAAACCGTATAACAAAGGTTTTGGTTACGTTAATGTATGTATTTGTGTTCAACAAGAAGATGCCTCAAGGTCAAATATCATCGGGTGCAGGAGATGCTTTATCCCTGACATAAACCGTATAACAAAGATTTTGGTTACGTTAATGTATGTACATATTTGAGTTCAACAAGAAGATGCTTCAAGGTCAAATATCATCGGGTGCAGGAGGTGCTTTATCCCTGACATACACCGTATAACAAAGATTTTGGTTAGGTTATTGCGTGCAAGACGATGCCTCAAGGTCATATGCCATCAGTTACAGGAGGTGCATCAACAATCATTTCAATCGAATATACAAAATTGATTTTATGTTGAAATCTTCAAGCCAATCTAATGTGGGACTATTTTTGTTTTTCAGGTAAATAACAATGGAATAATATCATTTCTGGATCAGCTTAAAACGTATAGACCTGAAAATTTCCCCTTGGATTCCGAAACGCCAATTATTGCTCCATTCTGGGCTGACGTGGATGTGCAAGTTGGAGGTAAAGTGTGGTATCGTGAGTCTAGTGATTTCCAACTTCTTGAAAAAGCGACGGTTGAAATAAAGACATACTTCCCTGCTCTGAGAAGGTTCCGAGCTAACTGGATGTTTATCGCAACCTGGGACAATGTTGGCTTTTACGGTGCTTCTCAAGAAGGCAAGCAAAAGGTAAGATTCTTAAGGAAGGAAAAATGCATTTCAGATAGTTGCCGGTATTATTGCAATTGTGCATTTTGTACGAGAAAGGATATCCTTTGGGTCAAAACATACGCAAAACATGGGCAAAGGCCAGTCAAGTGTTCACCTGAAAATATAGGGGAACATATGATACAGACCAAAAGGAGAATTGCATCGGACATCATTTTGGTCACAGATGCGTTAAATGCCCTCCACACTGTCCACCTTAAAACGTTCTGAAAGCTTTGCTGAGACCTTGAATGTTGTAAACCTGATCGAACAACGTTTGAGCAAGAGTGATATTACACCCTTTGAAATCTTCGTAAGAAGAGCATGCTTGAACCTCAAAAGTTGTGAAACGTAGACACCGAGGATATGAGCTGCTGGAATATAGGCATTTTAAGGGGGAAAGTTGACTAATGGAAAGTTGAAGTCATTCATCTTGTCACACAGTCTTGTGGAGTGTTTTGTCACTCAGAATGTTTATTCATGGATCTAAATAGGACATTGTTGAGCCGATCTCACCGGTCTGTTTTACCTCCAGTTCAGGTTGGTAACTCAGTGAAAGGGACCTGGCTTTTCTTTTCTCAGTGAGAACGACAACGTTTTAGATACTTTCACTTTAACCGTTAGAAGCCACAATATCCGTTTTATATAACTCTGTTGAAAGGATTAGGATTAACGTAACCAACGTTTCAACAGTCAAACCTAGCTCTTTGTAGCATAAACGCCTACCGGAAGTACTTACCTCTGTCTCAGATACATAAATTCATCAGTGTCCATTCATATAATGTTCACCGCTATTTCGCCTTACGCCCTATTGAATATGTTACTGGGTATTCTCTGGCGATGACGTTTCATATTTGATGATGGCTGTTTCAGAGAAATACATTCCAAGCAGTGCTGATCACTGATAGCCTGCAATCTTTCGTCATCTTCAACTACAACAAGATCGAGTGGACGACCGGCTCCAACAGCGGTGGGGTGACCACGACGGGTCTCGGAGGGAATCCTGCCCAGGTATGGAAGGTAGAAGACATACGGTGGTAAATTACGCTTCTGCATAGATGTCATAGTAGTGGCTGTGCATCACAGTGACGTCATTATTACGTCATCATTACGTCATCAGCTCAGGCAGACGTGCAAAGTGACATTGTTTGAGTGGTGAAGTTATGATGACGTTTTCGTTTGAAATTTGTTTTTGAAGTTTAGATGGTTCATTTGCATAATGACGTCATCTGTGACGTCATACACGCTGTCACTGCTTTGACTACACAACTCCTCCTCCATCCATTTGTACTCAAGATTAGCATGCGTGCTGCACTAGTTCTCTCTCTATGTACATCTGCTCTGTCCGTCACGTGATGTAGGTCACGGGCAGCCAACAAGGTCAAGGTTATGATCAGATACTACTTTCCTGAAGTCAATATAAACGCAGTAATAATTCAGCGACTTGAGGCACATGTTAAATACGAGATACCATCCCTTCTCCTACCAAGTTTACTGAAACAAATACACAGAATTTTGCGTCCTCGTACGGATTTTTGGTGAATAATAATTATAATACCATACTACCACAAAAATCGTATTAGTGTTGAGTAGCTTTACGTTTCATCGACATTATCACAGCCATATTTGCGACCGACAACACTCAACAGAAAGTGATCTTTAACCTTTTGTAATAAAAACTTATCAAGCACATTAAATAGTCTTTGATAAATTCCAATTACTTATAAAGAGAGCATACCCTTTTCTGACACCTGTTATACTCATAGAAATGACTGTGCACCTCTAATAGATAAAATATTATATTCCTGAGTAGTCCGACAGATGAATTTTATTGCTGAAATATTGCTAAAAGCGATCTTAAATTTAAAATCATTTAAATCTAAAGGTTGACCTAAATAACACGAGTACAGTGCTGAAACCACTAGCCTTCTCATAAGTCAATCTTTGCCTGAGCGGAATTTTTCACGCACAATGCTTTCATTCTCACATGCTACACGCGAATTGGCACAATAGGTAAATTCTATTATTAAGGGAAGACATACTCATGTAATAATTTAAATGAAAGTCACTAATGTAGGTCACCAATATATGTGATAAATTTCAAGTATACTGATATATATATATATAATGTTTTATGTACTTATGTTTACATATATAAACAATGATACTAAACAAAGTTTCACGACTTATAAGCCTTCATAATGTCACCCGAATATGTATTTCTCATAGTGGAGAACAAAATTAGGGTGTTAATTAAATAAAATTTAAATAAATAAATAAGGATATGACCTTGAACTTTGTAAGGAACCTTGACCTTGTTTTGATTTGACCTTCCATGACCTTACCCGTTCTTTCATCCCTGCATGGACAGCATGCTCTGTCCTTGCCTGATGTAGGTCATGACTCAGATTGGATATAGCCGAACGTCTTCCTAGTGGTAGTGTTCGAGTAACAGAACCTACTAGGTAAATCCTGATAATAAGTAGCATGGTGTTTACTGTGTATTAGTATATATTAGTATTAATTAAGTCTAGAATTTATTAGCCTCAGATCAATAATACATTATCCATCTGTCCTAGAGAAGGTGTCATTTGAGGCGGCTAACGGGATCGGGTGGTCAGTCTCGCTGACTTGATATGCAAGTCATCGTATCCCAATTGCGTAGAACGATGCTCATGGTGTCAATCACTGGAGTTTGGTCCAGACTCGATTATTTACAGACCGCCGTCATATAGTAGGGCGTTAAACAACAACCAACCAAGCATAGTGAAGGCAGATATTCTTTATATTTTTTTTAACTTTGACTTGAAATATTTTTTGGGTGGGATGAGAGAATCAGAAATTTGGTAAGACAATGTATGTATCAGAAAATGTGTCCAGCATTGTATGTCGAAGGAGGGGTCAATGAAAGGTCTTGTTTTCATGGGGCTGGTTTGGACAGAGCAGGATGTGTTAGGTACTAGTTCCCGTCATGCGCAGACGAATGCGTGCAGGAGGTGTCATGTCATTACGGTTATATTCTAGTAGTTGCTTCCCGTAGTCCAGCGCGCCGCTTCCGGAAACGTTCTTACCGGAAGTGGAACATATTACCCAGCATGCTCCAATTTCAGTCGATTTTGAAATTTCTGTTGCATTGTGGTTGATTTTCTATTCTTCATGTCAAAACGGCATGTAAAGGGGATAAATTTTAAACTTTGATTTTAAACAAAGTGTGTTGTTTCTACGATTTTTGCTGTTAAAATTTGTAAAACACATCGTGTAAGATCTATTATGGAAGTGTTCCGATTACGTGGAGTGTGTATGGTTCAAGAAGCCTACAAGAATATCCAGTTTTAGTCAGAAGCATTATTTTCCATATGTCTTCTTATTTATATTGTTACTAATTACATTAATTATTATCGTGTAACCTAATCGAGTTTTTAAGCTGTCACTGTTACCTTAATGGTTCTATTTGTTTAACGGTACTAACATCAAACTATGAATTACGCCTTTAAATGTTTATGTTTGAACCAAAGACACTGATGCTTATCCCATTTTCCCATATCCCCCACCGTGACATGGATGGAATATTGTTAAAAGCGGCGTAAATCCATACTCACTCACAGCTTCTCAATAATTATTTAACATTTTCTTTTCGACCTTTACAAAACTGGTTCATGCATAAAACCAGGTTCGATACACAGCATTGGTTAAATAAACTGTCGGCAAAAGAAAGTATACATTTGAAAATTCGATTTTACCAAAAAAATACAAATGTTATTACAAACGCTACTAGCCTGACAACAGCTATCAAGCACTGTAAACTTTTAGGTGCAAACCACAACTATGATACGCCACCATCGAATATCCATTTCTTGTTTGTTTCATTTGTAGACACCAATACACATGAGTGTATAGTTTTTTTGCCTGGCATTTTACGTACCGCCCATTCTTGGTGCCATGTGCCTATCCTGGAATATAGTGACGTGAGACCCAAGTCATCCAAATGAGACTGACATTTAGCTTCTGAAATAAAACAAACAAACACCTTTTGCTGAAAAATGTCCGACTGTAAATAAAAGGAAGGAAAATGAGAATCTCTTCATTTCCATCAGAACTTAAGAAATCTAGATTTGCTAAAGTATGGATATTTTTGTTTCAAGGTCTGTATGAGGGAATTCTGGAAAATGTTATTTATGGTGTCCGTGTCTTTGGTTATTTCTGATGTGTAGGGTTGAAGTAGCTGTATGGTAGTGCTGTGATGTAGTATTTCATGTTATATCCTAGTGTATATACGACATATCCTCCCCATGTATGACACCCTGCAACACACCTGTACATGCTTCAGCTACATGTGTACACGCCCAGTCTCGGGGCCCTGTTCTCTACAGTGAGGGTTTGTTTACTGAATATATTCCCGGTGAGATAAGACTTCAAAATGAAATTGATGATAATCGACGCATGACCAAAGCGATCCGCCACTCCTAAAAAATAGAAGAAAGAAAGGAAACCGAAAGAAAAAACAAAACGATCTCAAACAAAGCAAGAAACGTAAACAGTAGCAACAATAACAAAACAAAACATTTATCAATCTTTTTTCCAATTTTTTTTACCAAAATGACAAGAAATGAAAATATATAAAACAAGGGGGAAAACCTATCTCTAGAAAAGATTTTAAAATGTTTTATCCCCGGCTGTTTTGGTCACTGAGAGAGCTTACATTTTACATAACTTACATCATGTTTTGAATTTTATTAAAATAGGGCACCGATTGTTGTATAAAAAACGTTTTATGTTTGATTCCTGCCTCAAATTTGAATTTTACAGTTGAGGTTATGTGCAGAATATTGGTCAATATTTGGAACAATCACATTTTGACTTATTTAATCAAACCCGTCAAACAGAATTGGTCAATGGTTTATGCGCAAGTACTAGATCCCCTTGATAATGTTGATTTCCGCTTCCGGAAGGTTCTTCTTGGAACTTGTGGTAGAGAGTGTATTTTGGGGCAAATCACATTGGCAGAGAACAAGGTTGAATATTGACACCGTATCCATCGTCACTCGTTCGACGCATTCTTGACGTCATGGATTAAGTGTCAAGATCTGGAGACACCCGTTAGCTGTGCAAGATATGTCTGAGTAGGGCACGCTTGTCGGTTGTCGTAAACAACGTACCTAGGGCACGGTTGTCGGATGTCGTAACAACAGGCGTTGGTCACACTTGCCGATTGTCGTAAACAAAATACCTAGGACACGGTTGTTGGTTGTCGTTGAACAACAGACGAAGAACACACTTGACGGTCGTCGTAAACATCACACCTACGGCATGCTTGTCGGTTGTCGTAATCACCATACCTAGCGCACGCGTTTCGGTTGTCGTAAAAAAAACCCAGACGTTGGGCACACTTGTCGATTGATGTAAACATCATACCTAGGACACGGTTGTCGGTTGTCGTGAACATTATACCGAGAGCACGGAAGTCGATTGTCGTTAAAAAATGCGTAGGATACGCATGTCTGTTTTCAGATGGTAAATCATTCTCGCTAGTTTTAAAAAGCAGTTCTTCAGAACTATGGTACATAACAGTGGTAGATGTACTGGCAAATCAACCAACCGAACTATACACGCCAAACCCAAAGGGTATTATTTTTCGGATCTCTGTTAGATCAACCAAATCCGGTGTATTAACTTAAGTGTAAAAATTCAATAACTTCGCTTGTTGTTTACATGCTTGGATCTGTTTCAAATACACCGAGGGGCAAATTCTTAAATATTGTTATCCTTTTCAGTGTGTGTTTTTCAAACAAACCGGTTGACATATTTTACGTGAAGATCCGGGGTAGAATAGGTCGGCATGCTTGCCGAAAATGGCGACTATCCTTGTTGTAAGAGGCGACTAAAGGAATCGGGTGGTCAGGCTCGCTGACTTGGTTGATGCATGTCATCGTATCCCAATTGCTTGGATCGATGCTCATGATCTCAATCACTGGTCTGTCTGGTCCTGACTCGATTATTTACAGACCGCCGTCATAAAGCGTGAATATTGTTGAGTGCGGCGTTAAACAACAAACAAAGAAACCGTTATCACTGATTCACGTTCGTGAAAGTCGAGAACAAGTTAAAACTTTTAAAAGTGTTCCTCTGGTATTTCGGTACACATGACAACGGAATTTGATTGTTCCTATTGGGGAAGCCTTCAAATTTCAACTGGTATTTTGGAAAGATACATATTCCGGACATAGCTTGCTCAGTTTACCCCCGTAGGAATGATAGATCTCGTCAGAACGAGATTTTGCGAGATGCTGACCCCATTTTCCCCCACAGGCTGGATTTAACGCCGGGGACCAGAAGACATATATGGAAATTCCGGGGGCGCGGAAAAATGCCGTCTTAAACCTCACTCTGACAAGCAACGTTAACATCCCTGGTAAATGGGTGTTCCGTGTGGACTCTGCTACTATTCTAGGAAGCTGTTCTGATAAAGGTAAGGCCACTTCTAGCATTTGATACCGGTTTTTTAGCTCTTGTAAAAGCACACCTTTCGAAAATATCGATTTATTCCAACTTCATTAATAATAAGATGAAGTCGTGCAGCAACAAGCAATGATGAAATGAACATGTTCAGCATAATCGATCGAAAGAGCTCCATTTTTGGATAAATATGTGAAGAATAGATTCGCCTATTTGTGCAAATGTACATGCTTGATTATTTGGTGTATCATATCTCCACTGTATTAAGATAAATACCCTATAGCCACTCGCTACCATGGTTTTGTTTGGAGCCCGATTCGAATAGCAAGACGCTAAAAATCGACGTCCAATCAAATTACTCACACGAGCGAGAGGAATTCTGTGCTCGTGTAGAGATATGGCGCGAAGGAGGTACTGACGTCATTTCCGGAACGAATGGTTGCATAGTATTTATCATTGCATTATTAAAAAGGAGATGTGATACCTGGATATCAGAGGATGGTATACGTATCACGTATTCAGATTTAAACCACATTGGGATCACTTGGCCGTATCTAACACTCATGGCCTTTTGTGCCTTCGTATGGTGTCCCCCGCCGTGATATTGCTTGAATATTGCTAAAAGCGGCGTAAAACCAAACTCACTCACTCATTGTGCCTTCGTAAGAGTGAGTCTACGGGATGGGGAAGGGGTAAAGGTGGTGAGGGTGGTGAGCGTGGGTGAAAGAAGCGTTAACCTGGCAATTTATCAGTCACTGGTTTGTCTGGTTCAAACACTAAAGTAATTCTTGTGTTGGAGGTAGTCGGAAGGAAAGTAATATTTTTGTTTTCGATAATTTAAGTGAAAGTACCGCGAGTGGGAAGCTCAACAATTAATTTCAGACCACTATAACAGATATGCCCTTATTAATTCAACTTTAACAATTTTCTTTGTAGGTAGTGGAGACGTGCTTGTTTGGCCCAGTTCTGGTCTTGTCCTTGGAGGCCAGATAATCTACCTGTCTGGTCCGTGTTTTAATGAAGGCTCCGAGCTATTGGCTCGTTTTGATGACGTCAACATCACATTCCCATGCAGTTACTATACATCCGCACGCGCCCAGTGCATCACACCAACCGTCTTTCGGACAGGCCCCCTTACTCTGTCACTCAATGTAGATAATGGTGGCTGGAACTACACCGGCACATATACTACAAGTAAGTAGTTGGAGGGACAGTAGTATATGTTTAAGAGGCAGTCGAAAAGAATGTAGTATTTATTTTAGAAGTGGTCGAAAGAGTACGAGAAAGTAATATTAGTGTTGGAGGTAGTCGACGAGAAAGTAATATTAGCGATGGAGGTAGTCGACGAAAAGGTTTTATAAGTGTTTTCGGTAGTCGACGAGAAAGTAATATTAGCGTTGGAGGTAGTCGACGAAAAGGTTTTGTAAGTGTTGGAGGTAGTCGACGAGAAAGTAATATTAGTGTTGGAGGTAGTCGGAAAGAATGTAGTATGTGTTATGTCGATAATGCAGGTAAAAGTACCGTACGTGGGAAGGCTCAACAACTAATTGAAAGATAACTGACATTGATAACAGAAATAAAAAAACACAGTGGCAATGAAAAACACATTGAAACCAAGAGAAATTGTTGAAGACCTAATGTACTCCCCATCAATCTTGTGATGCTGACAATGAAGTCTTTTGACGAATGAATGTCCAACATTTTAAGATGCTATTATTCTTTTTCTTGCCACAGTGAACATAGCTCAGGTTGAACCCAAAGTTAAACGTGTGGACCCCAAGAAGTGGTTCGTCAATCAGTCCGTGAATATCTCCTGGGATACTTCCAGTTTTCCGTCCAGAAACATCACCAACATCACTGTTGAAGTGCTAGAATATAAGGTAAGATTGTCTGCTTCTGTACCTCTCAAAGGAATTAATGAGGCTTTTAGTACCATTCCACTATTATCACGGTGGGGGCACCAGAAACGGGCTTCACACATGTTTGGAATCGAACCTGGACCTTCCTCGTGACCACCGAACTCTTTAACCACTAGGCCACCCCACCGCCCCCATCTTCCCGAGGCAAGAGTGTTAACTGACTTTAAAAGTCCAGTTTCCACCCTTGCCGAACTAGGCTGGAATTCCTGGGCTCGATCGTAGCGCCACCAGTGGCTATTATGAGTTATGTCCCTTCTAAGCCTTTCCTATGGACCAATCAGATTTCATTTCTCGTATTACTTGTATTTGCTTCAAACAAAATGGCGGAGCCCAGTCAGGACGATCTGATCGATAATCCAATCTTACTAAATTCGGATCTTAGTTCACGCTACCACTAAACAAAGATCTGAGGACATCCCAATACGGGTCACGTCTGACCGACCTTTCGCGAACTTGCCGACCAATGGAATGACTAACAAGAAGTCGACAATAGCCAATCAGAAGGCAGCTTATTCATATTTTGACATGCACTCGATTAAAAAATTAAAAACTGAACAATAGAACATTCTGGAATGGATAATGGATGGTCTTGATTGTATGAATACAGACATAAAGCCCATAACTGTCGTGCGGAATACCCTGTGTGGTGTTTCGAGGTTCCACGATAAAAAATCACATTCCAACCGTCACTTTCATGATCTGATAAGCGGTGCTCTGATTGGTCAGATGAAAGGTCGTTCTGACATGACACGCAATGGGATGTCCTCAGATCTTTGTTTAGCGGTAGCGAGAACTAAGATCTGATTTTAATGAGATTGATCGATAATCAAGATCTATATTGTCTTACATCACGAAATGCTTCAAATCACGTGAGCACCTTGATTAAAAGCATGAAAAGATTTGGAAAATATCTGTTGACAACAAGTTGGAGGTGCACATGTTTTGCAAATCCTGCAACCGATCGAAATCTGCACGACAGTTTACGAACCGGATTTCGATTTCGTTGCGCGATTTTGATTGGACTGTGCATTGACTCGTTAGTCCAGCAAAACTCAATCTCATTAAAAATCAGACCTTAGTTCTCGCTACCGCTAAACAAAGATCTGAAGACATCCCATTAGGAGTCACGCCAGAACGACCTTTCATCCGACCAATCAGAGCGTCGCTTACCAGATTATGAAAGTGACAGTCGGAATGTGATTTCTGATCATGCAACCTCGAAAACTTTAACATGGGGTATTCCGAACGATAGTTACGGGTTTAAACGACTGAATCCTTACAATCCTTACAATCTTACAATCTTTTAGCCATTCCAGAAGTTTTTTGTTAAGGTATCAAATTTGTAATCGGGAATTTGTCAAAATATGTTTCGAAGCGTAGTCGCAAATTTGAAATTAGTGCCGTAAAGCACGAGAAAGCTGCCTTCTGATTGATCATTCCATTGGTCGGTCAAAGTTCGCGCAAGGACGGTCTGACGTGACCCGTAATGGGATGTCCTCAGATCTTTGTTTAGCGGTGGCGAGAACTAAGATCTGTTTTTAATGAGATTGAGCCAAACTGTAACACCATAATACCAGCCAAATTCGGCAAGGGTGGAAACTGGACTTTTATAGTCATTTAACTCCCTTACCTCGGGAAGATGCACTGCCCCTCACCCATCAAAGCGATAAAATTAATGTAAAAGCGTTAGAATATACCTTGACGTCCCAGTGTAAGTTCTATTCTCCGCCTTAAGTTCGAATTGTGTCTCGAAAAAAATATATTGTTCCAAAAAATGAAAATATAATTATCACGCTTCTGACTGTCAATCACAAAAATACATTGTTGCTAGACGTCTTTTTGAAATTTGGTACGCAGTTTTAGTGTATCTCGTCGACCTGCAAAATCCCGCGGCGTTGAACAATGAACAAACCAAACCAAAACTTCGGATATATCGAAATGATGTTGCAGGTTGTCCTTGAGTTCGTTATATCCGGAATATCGTGTTATTCACTGTGTGCATTTATGACTGAATGTTTCAGGAAGTCAACGGGACTCCCTCCTTGAGAAGGGTGGTGAACTTCATCGACATCAACTATTCATCGAGGTCCTTGTTTCACTTCAAGCTCCAAAATATATCCACAGCAGCCATATTGAAAGTCAGCGGCCAAGATGACGAATTTAACGGGTAGGAGATTTGTTTGACCCCTGAAGATCCTGGTTAGAACTGATCTTCTTCTTATCGTAAGAGGTGACTGAAGTGATTGGGTGGTCAGGTTCTCTGACATGCGTAGATCGACGTTCATGATGACAATCACTGACCGCCGTCATATAGCTAGAATATTGCTGGGTGCGGCGTTAAACAACAAACAAAACAAAACAAAAGGAGATTTATTATACGGGTAGGCGTTCCTGGTTTTCACCAAAGTGGTAAACGTCTAATACCTGCCTCGCTGACACTATGCTGAAATACTGTTCAAAACGTCGTTAAACCAACCCACTCTCTCACTTCTACACGTAAGGGACACATAACGGGAAGTTGACTGAATGTTGGGTGTGAGATTCATTGACGGGTAGGTAACTCATTAAAGGGCGGGAGACTCAATGGCTGGTGGAATGTGTAAGGAGTAAGGAAGCGTCTGTGGTTGCGTTCTCTGGGATTCACATGGACGTGTAGTTTGAATATACACGGATGGTTCGTTGATATGAACTGCCGGGCTAAAGAAAGTATACACCCATGTTTGATTGTCCAAAATATATAGAAGAAGAAGAAGAAAATATTTTATTAAGGTGTCGCATGATATACATACATAAGGTCAAACAGTTAAAAACAATTATTGTATATCATCCGGCCGATATGGCCTATATCTCATAAGTACAAATAAATGCACCTAGTGTGCTAAACACACACACACACACACACACACACACACACACACAAATACATTTAAAATAAACGTGTAAGAGGCACGGTTGCGCGACATGTATCCCGCATTAAGTAAATGATTGGAAAGATATGGGTAGGTAAATTAAATAGATGGATACAACTACATGTGCAACTGTCATAGCAATGCGAGACAGACGACGTATATATATATATATATTTGATACAATACCTTAGCTGTGTTTTTTTATATAGGGACTGTTTTCAGCCTGGTAACGTTTTGACAACGCCTGTAAGATTTTTTGTCAAATAAAAAACCGAAACTGCTTTCTTTTGCCCGGCAGTATATAACACATTTAAATATGCAAAAGGAGTAAGTCGGAGAAAAAAACCCCTCTGTCCACCGAACTCAATGATCAGGAATATTTTAACATGTTCTGGCTATCGTTGCGTAAAACTCCCTACAGAACCGCTCTCAATGTTACCGACCGTATATTCACTGCAACAACCTGTTGATAGTGAACTGTGTGACCCACAGCGTGACTCACTGCTATCAACATATTCTACTACTCGAGAGGACGGTATAAATTATATCAAGTAGGCAAACAAAGTGTAATTTGTTGAATTTGATCTGCAGTAAAATTCGAGCCGACAAATATTAACCTCGATAAGAACCATCGTGGGGGACGTCTCCAAGTTAATTAGGAGGTTAAAAGGGGAATAATACCTATTGAACCGAGTCGGCCTACAATCATTTGACATTTTATTTTGGAAGCGTTGACATTGTTTTTTTTGCAATGATTTGGCAACTATATTTAGATATGTCAGGAGAGTATATACATCGACATGAATAAAATATGTGTTCCACGTGTAGCTTTGGTTAGTAAATTACACGAGCAAGAGTGTCTTGTTTATTAAACAACTGATACACACCAAGAAACCTCTACCTACACTGATTATCGTGCAAGAAATAATATTGTCATTGATAAAATATTTTACATCCATACCGGAAATTCCTTTGTACCGGAAGTGCTCCGGGCAAAACGGTTTATAGAATATTTGATTGGTGCCACAGCTCGTATCACGTGTTATTATTGTAAAAAATAGATGGAAATGTAACAATGACGTCATGCAAACATTTGAACTCGTGGCGTCAAGGGCACAGTGATTTGTGTGAGTTTGAATCCCTATTGTCCTAACGTAGTGATCGAACCTGTTTATGTTAACCGAACCTCTTCCCCAGGTCTGCAATGGCCATATGGTCAGACGTGTTCCCAGCGAGATGGCCAAGTCCTTCAAAGTCTGCGGGGTGGTGCCGGGCGTGGATGGACAAGGAGGGGAGGGGACTGAACCTGACCCAGACAGAGCCCTGTCCGTGCACCAGGAATCAGGCCGACGGGGACACAGGGAGGTACCAGCCCGACCCCTTCTGCAACCAGCGCTCAAAGGACCCTATAGAACGTAGTTGTTTGTACAGAGGAGGGGCGACGGATTGTATCATGTCAAATTATCAGGGGTAAGTAATGATAATAATAATAATAATAATAATAATAATGTTGATACTACCACTACTACTACAACTGCTACTACTACTACTACTACTACTACTACAACTGTTGCTACTACTACTGCTGCTTCTACTACTACTACTACTACTAATGATGATGAACCGTCACATATCTGAGATATTTCTGAGTGTGGCGTTAAACAACAAATGAATAAACAAGCACAATAATAATGATGATAATAATGAGATGATGATGATTAAGGAGTTTTGCGAAAAGACGCTTTGTTTTCATCTTAATTTTGTAGTGCATTTCGAAACATCTTTTAGCGAACTTGTCGGGCTTATCAAGCAGTTTGCTTGTCATGCCGAGGGCGTGGTTTCAATTACATAATTATTTACAAACTGTGAAGCCCATTGATGTTGATATCGTTGGAATATTGACAAAGCGGCGTAAAATTCAACTCACTCTCACTGAATCTAAACCATGCATTGTATTTCACAGGTCTTCGGAAGGCAGCCAAGTATGTTGTTACAGTGCCGATGGCGAGTTGTTGAATGCTCAGGGGATGGAGGGCGGTGGCACACTAGGGCGATATCATTACAGATCTCAGAGCGACGACGCCGTCGCTTTTTTCTCGTATTTTGACCAAGATGTGCTTCCATACACCCACTGTTGCCAATATTCACAGACGCACTGTCGGGAGTTTCTAACTTACCATCGACCACCGGTTACCTGTGTGGGCTATTCACCACCCGCAGCTGGTAAGAATTTCGGGGTTTTATTGCAATATTGATATGATCAAAAAGATCAACATTAATAATTCAGTCCGAATTGTTGAAACGCTTGTTTCCTTTTTTGCGGAGATCCGGGAGTGAAAAGGCCCCAGTAATCTGCTCATGAGGACAATACTTTTGACGACAGAGATAACCGACTTATTAGAATCGTGAGAGCAGACTTATGATGCAAGTTTGTATATGCCACTTATAAAGCACATTATGATGACCTTGATGATAGTGATGGTGGTGGGGGTTGTGATGCTGATAATTAACAACAACAACAGCAACAACAACAACAACAGCAACAACAACAACAACAATAATAATGCGTGTAGTAATTTTAATAATTATGAAATATTTCAGAGGTATATATATTTATCTTCTCGTTTCAGCCCAGGCAGCTGGGGATCCCCATTTAGTAACGCTGGACGGGAAGGGGTATACATTCAATGGGGAGGGGGAGTTTGTGTTGTTGGAAGACGACAACAGCAGCGTTGTGGTTCAAGTCAGGACAGCCCAAGCCAGGGACACTAATGGTGAGCAGTCGATTGTCTCTGTGAATTTGAATAATTTCAATAAAGAAATCTATGGGACCGACAATGTGATATATTATTAGAAAAGGAATCTGATCTAGAAAGTACTGGAAAAAACGATGTGCCGATGACCAAAAAAGTTACTTGAATGTCCTGATAACAATATGTTGTTAAAAGATTGGTCGATAAAAAGCCCACCAGAATATTGAATGATCGGTCCCTGAAGGCACAACTCCAACAACGTGGAAAACACTTGGGTGTGTGTGGTTGTCATTCTCAATACATTAAGACCTATCTTGTAAGGCAACGTGTACCTGTATGTACCTCTCTTCTGAAACCATTTCGATGCCAATTTGCGTTCTGGTTTCTAGACGAACTGCAGAACGCGACGATGTTCACGGCAGCGGCAGTGGCGATACGGAACGTCACTGACATATTGGAGGTTCGTCTCGACAAGGATGACATTGTCCAGTTCCTGGTCAATGGAAAAGAACGTGACCTCACTTCATCTACCTCAGAATTTAACGGTCAGTTTTAGATGTTCAATATGCTTTTCTAGACCCAACATATTGCATTGCATTGGACTATGGATAAAACAGAACGCTGGGTTCGAGTCGTGTTTGTATCTCTTCCAAACCACAAACAATCTACATCACTCACGTCATCGTCAATACTTCATATCCCGCTCCGTGCACGAATTTTGAGCGAACTGAAAAATTGATGCAGTTTGTTGAGGTCAGGGTTTTTGCACACGCCACGTTCCTCCGCCGCGCATGAATACATACGGGCATTTACAGTGTATTTTCTGCTCTGACCAATGAGCGCTCGTTTTACATCACACAAGCTCATCGTATCCCAATTGCGTAGATCGATACACATGATATCAATCACTGGATTGTCTGGTCCAGAATCGATTATTTACAGACAGCCGCCATATAGCTGGAATATTGCTGAGTGCGGCGTTAAACAACAAACAAACAAACAAACACATATCACACAAACGGCAATGTTTCTTGTGCAACATGTGCGCCGACTTGCGCAACGCCGTGCGCCACGCTGCCTCAATATCCGGCAATGGTAGATTTATGCGCGGCCATATTTCATTGCTTGACTTAAAATAGACACACACCTCGCTGTTATCCGTATATCATCTACTGTGTGTATTCACGGGTGATGGAGGAACAAAGGAACGCAGGGTATGCCCTCCCATGACGTACTGACGTTTCACGCGTGTATGTTTCAGTTTTAAAGTTTTTCACCTTCAGAATAGACGAATCATTGCCGATGCCACGTTCCATTTTAACCCTCGTTATGTGTCATAAGAAAAGAATATCTAATGTAATTTGTAACATGCAATTGTTTTATTTGTTTGGCATATGGAGAGTGGACTTAATATCTTAGACTGACATCTAGTCTCTGAAATGAACATATCGTACAGAAAAAACAGTTGTTCAATTATCTTAATAAAAATATAATAAAAGGGAGACCAGAGACTCTCTTCATTTAAGAATTGCAAAACATTATAGACTTGCATGGGCTGTATTTGATATATATTTGTATCAGGGTCTGTAAGACATACTATTAATTTCTGTATGTACATTTTTCAGGACTTACAGTGTATCGTAACAAAACAAGCAACATCACGGCGGAGGTGACGGTGGTCATCAACCCCGCCGGGGTGTCGGTACTGATGCAGGCGACAGACAAACTCTTAAACATTATGGTGATGGTGGGATCACCGCAACTTAAAGGTAGTCTGTCATCATTCATTTACTGGTTTCTTAAGCCATGAATATATTTTTTCATCAGAAGCATTATTTTTCAAAGTAAATGACCGCCGCCATGGTCTTTTGGTAGAGAGATCCCGGAGAGCGGAAGGTCCGCGGTTCGATCCCTGGCCGCGTCATACCAAAAGATGTTGAAAGATGGTACTTGTTGTTACCCTGCCTGGCGCTCGTCATTTAGGGGCTAAAACAAGGACTGGTTGGTTTGTTTTTTAACGCCGTACCCAGCAATATTCCAGCTATATGACATCGGTCAAACATGGACTGGTCGGCTCGGAGTCAGCATACTGTGTCTGAGTAGGGTATTCGTGTTAAACTGCGGCATGGTATCTCAGTGGGCTAGCACTATAAAGTCGGCATTAGTACGGACTAGTTCACACACACACACACACACACACACACACACACACACACACACACACACACACACACACACACACACACAGAGAAAAAGAGAGAGAGGCGTGCGCACACACACAGACAGACAGACACAGACAGACAGACAGACAGGCACACACGTGTGCAGCCACTTCGCTGCATTAGTGCAATTATCTTAGACACGACGTTAAACCCCATTTCACCTCACCTCACCTCACCTCAAAGTAACTTTACTTTGCATTCATTTGTTCCTCTCAGTGAGCGAACACTAATTTCAAACGCCATTGCATTCGTGACCACTCGTGTCATTCCGGGACAAACCGAATGACTTACATGTTACAAAAAGGAGACGAATGACTCGCAGGTAAACATGGCGCCAAGGGAAAGATAACTCTTGTATTAAATGCCGGTCAATTTTGACATAACAGGAACTGATATCCAAACCGGATTTTCTGCTACCGGACAAAACAAACCGATGTTGCGTACCTTGTTTTAAGTGAACGACTTTTGAGATATATGTGTCACTACCTTGGACAGGGGTCACCTGGCAAAACCTGATCTCACGGCATGACACTTGGTATATTAATAACTCTTCTGAACTCTCTTTGTTGGTTCTTTGGAGAAGAACTTTTAGACTGATTCATTAGTTTGTTCAGATCATCCCAGTTGGGATTCCGGGTTAGAATCGATCCCCTATGCATGTCATACGAGGCGACTTAGTGGATCGGGTGGTCTGGCTCTTTGATTTGGTTGATTGCGCGTCGTCTTGCCCTGCAGGCGTGGGTTGTTGCTCATGATATCGATCACTTGTTTGTGTGATTTCGAGTATTTATGGGCCCTTGTTTTAAAGCTGGAATATTGATTGCGAGAGCGGTGTTAAAATATAAACAAATCACCTGATTAAAATAGCTATGATCTGTTCAGTTAAATGTTAAAATTTAAGTTGACATGCGTTAATTAAGTCAGAAAGCCTGACCACTCAATCCCGTTAGTCGCTTCTTATAACAAGCATGGGTTGCTGAAGACCATTTCTAACCCGGGTCTGCCCAATTCGGTCGCCTATTACGACAGCAGTTGGGTGCTGGGGATATATTCTACCCTGGGACCTCAGAGGGTACTGACTTATGAAAAAACAACACGATTCTCACCAAGTGATGCGGGATGCAAAGAAATGCTTTCAGCGTTATGCGTTTACAGTGACATTCATTTGCTTGACAGTGTTCAGGGTTTGTAATTAACCATGATCATATATGTCCTTACAGGAAGATTACGGGGGTTGCTAGGCAACTACAATGGTAACCAGAGTGATGATTTTGTGTCCCGCAACGGAACAGTACTGCCGCAAAATGCCTCAATGGGGGAGATCCACTACGACTTCGGGTTGACGTGTAAGTGCATGGCATGCTTGTGTTATAACACTGTGTAGTGCTCTAATTGACATACCTGATGTGGCTGTGGGGTTACCCTGTAGATTAAGCGTTTGCTCGCCCCGCCGAAGGTCCGGGTTTGATTCCCAACGTTAGTACAATGTGTGAAGCCCATTTCTGGTGTCCCCCGCCGTGATGTTGCTGAAATATTTCTAAAAGCGGCGTAAAACCATACTCACCCACTGACGATTTCTGGTTCCCTGAAACAGTGGCTAAAATCCCCTTTGCGTATGGGTAAATGTCTCATTGTGGGTGTCCATTATATTAAAGAAAGTTTTTGTGCGTATTAAATGATAAGTTAAATAATGATCCACGGGAGAATCATAATCTTGTAACACAGCTTTACTCTACAGTCATGCTTGAAAAGAATACAAAACTGAAGGATTGTAACGAAATTACACAATGATCAGTTTTGTTATGGTTTTCTATAAAATAAATGTTTGGGATATATTTTCAAATTTTAAAACTGTAATAGTCCAATACATTCAAAAGCATGTAGACGTGGTTTTCACTGTTCTGGGTTCATCGTGTGACAGATTGTGCTATTATACTCAACAATGGACCCGATGTTTCGCAAAACAATTATAGTGACTTCATTCTAAAACAGGACTTGCAGAATAATTTCCAAGCATTTTGCAAATGTTCAAGCCCGGAATTCGTATGATGCTACCGCGGATCATAGGCATTCCGCATTCCCTACGATTATGTTTCTAAGTTTGTTAGCACCATACCCTTGCTCGTGGATTTCACCAAAGATCTGCATCACTTCAGGCTTTGCTCGCATTTTGAGTTGATACGCCCTGAATATATCTAGAACACTGTTCAAAGCAGCGTTAAACCCAACTCATTGCTCACTGTTTTGAATGATTTCTTATTTCTTTTGCAGGGTCTGTTATGGATGATGAAACTATTTTAACGCCATTGCTTCGGCAAGATGACCCTGGCGAATCGCTGAAGCCTGTGTTTATAGACAGCATAGACAAAGAGAACTTGCGCAATGGGACAGAGGAAGTGTGTGGTAGCAATGAACAATGCAGATTTGACTATCAGGTGACAGGGGACGCCGATATTGCCATGAGCACGAAAGCGTTTAGTCAAAGATTCGAGGATAGAAGGAATAGCATCAAACCAGGTACGTAGTTCTCTTTGACATGAAGTCGTACGGGTGTCATCTAAACCTTACTGGCACTTGTCTCAATCATTTGCTGAGGTTGGTTGGTTGGTTTCTTATTTAACGCCGCACTCAGCAATATTCCAGCTATATGACGGCGCTCTGTAATTAATCGAGTCTGGACCAGACAATCCAGTGATTAATATCATGAGCATCGTTCCACGCAATTGGGATCGATGACATGTATAAACCAAGTCAGCGAGCCTGACCATCCGATCCTGTTAGTCGCCTTTTACGACATGCATAGTCGCCTTTTACGGCAAGCATGGATTGCTGAAGACCTATTCTACTCCGGATCTTCACGGGTCTATTGGCTAAGGAGCGACACTGACATTGTATACAAAATAACATGTTTGAATTTCGGTACGTGGCTATTGTCTCTGTCATAACTTCCTGGGATTTCATTTTATAAGATGTATTTCTTGGTGTGTTGTTGGCGTGAAATTCAGCAATATTCCAGCTGTGTATGGTCTATGTGCCTGCATCAACAAGGCCGATCAAGGCCACGATTTCTGATGTCAACTGCCAGTTGTCCGCATCCTCCAGATATGTCACCTCTCCTCGAAGCAAGGAGTGAGTGAGTGAGTATGGTTTTACGCCGCTTTTAGCAATATTCCAGCAATATCACGGCGGGGGACACCAGAAATGGGCTTCACACATTGTACCCGGGAATCGAACCCGGGTCTTCGGCGTGACGAGCGAACGCTTTAACCACTAGACTAACCGCCCGCCTCGTAAATGGTGGCGCTACGATCGAGCCCAGAAATTCCAGCCTAGTTTTACAGTCTGTTAACTCGCTTGTCCTACCCATCAGTGTGTATACGTGCAGCGGCCATAAAGTTTCCGAGTCCCGTGATGGGATTCGAACCACGGACCTTCTGATCAGAGGTCGGACGCCTTGTCCAATTGACCAAAGAGGTTACCCCGTCAGAAAGCTGACAATATAAGTCATCTGTGGGATTACTCCACGCCCTGCTACATACTCCCCCGTCATCAGAAGGCATGTCCCGGGCCGCAAAGTAAGGTACTGAGGCTTTTCCAGTTCAAATGTAATATCAACGTGCTCAGCCCCACATTTGGCGCAAATGTAGCGGCCACAAAAGTCCCGTGATGGGATTCGAACCACGGACCTTCTGACCGAGGTCGGATGGCTTGTCCACATGACCAAAGAGGTTAACCCCGTCAGCAAGCTGACAAGGTAAGGATGTCATCTGTGGGATGACTCCACGCCCTGCTACATACGTCAAATGCATTAACTACATGTATGTCCTTTGTTCCAGTGGTGAGGTGCAGTTACCTGGATACGGTCGCCAACGGCAACCGGACCGTGTCTGGCTACACGGAAGGCTCGACGGCCAACTTTGTGTGTGATTCAGGGTACCAACTAAAGTTTGGTGACGCACAATTGGTATGCCAGGCAAACAGCAAATGGAGTGGGACAGCGCCAGCTTGTGTTGAGGAAGGTCAGTTTAACCTATGTGTGTCAACACTGAAATACAAAATTACACAAACACGTTAACACTATAAACTGAAACATCTTGGTAAGGGTATAGGTCAAAACTAACAAGTACAATTAACGGAAATCACTACAGTCAAACATTGGTATCTCGAACTCTCTTGAACTCGAACTTCATGAAGGGTCACATCGTATATGGCAATGTAACATGGTCCTTTATCATCCAATATTCTAATATCGACTGTCCGCTTGTCTCGAATTTCGGATACCTCGATCTATTAATGACATTGTCCCGACTTCGAGTTTAAACAGTGTCTCTTCATAGGGTAGTTATTTACATACATAAAATCAGGAAAATTAAGAAATTGAAAGTGACTTCTTCGTTTTTTAACTGATCATCCTGATTTATTTATGTTAGCACAAGCCATACTTAGTGGCGTTTTTTGGAGACTGTTTGGTAACCAATGGCTCTTTGTTACAGTGAAGGTCCCCAGCACGGTGTCGCCAACCACGCTGATCTACATTGGTGCAGGGACCGCTGGCGGTGTCGTCGTCATTATCCTAGTTGTAGTTGTGTGTGTGTGTACATGTCGGTCCACAAGGAAGAAGAGGTCCTCTGAGGAGGGGTAAGGATCCATGTGCTGGACCCTGTCTAGACCTTCATCATTTATCGTTAAGGAATCGAGCTTGCCCATCGCGACTGCTTGTCGAATAGGCTTCATCGACCCATACTTGCCTTAAGAGGCGACTATGCTTGTCATAAGAGGCGACTAGTGGGATCGAGTGGTCAGGCTTGCTGACTTGGTTGATGCATGTCATCGTATCCCAATTCATGATGCTCATGATGTCAATCGCTGGATTGTCTGGTACAGACTCGATTATTTACAGACCGCCGTCATATAGCTGGAATATTGCTGAGTGCGTCGTTAAACAACTAACAAATAAACAAAAAAAACAAACAAACAAAATGTCAGGCATACGGTGAAACTCGTGTAACATGTCTGGGCCCCCGTTTCATAAAGTTGTCTTAGGTGATCGTTAATCCCATACTTTAACATAGGCTTACGACAGTCTTAGCGCTAAGACCGCTTTGTGGAACAAGGCCCAGTTCAGCTGACTTTACATGAAAGACTCGAAGCAGCAATTTTGAGTCAGTGGATGGGTAGATTTGATTGATTGATTAACTGCTGAGGCGATTAAGGACGAATAGATGGATAGACTGATGAATGAATTAAATGATGGTTGGATTAACGAGCAGATTTATTGTTTCGTATATTGATTGACTGCTTGCTTGATTGATTGCGGAATTGATTGGTGGATGAGTGGAAGTCTAGACAGGGGAATTTGAAATGGATGGTGGATGGATGGATGGATGGATCGATGGATGAGTGAGTGGATGAATGTAAGCATTCGTTGACCCACTGATAAAACGTGATGTGTTATGAAAACATAATCTGCCGAAACCAAGAAGAAATACAACTGAACTTAAATATTACAACCTTGAACAACACTTATTATGTAATTCCATCCTTCCATCATAGCCAACATAGTCTCACCGTTCAATTCGGACATTTTCTAAAAAAAGGTAAGGGCGCAGATATTTCCCCCCACATATTTCATAAACTGATTCTAATGATTCCTTAGCATCAGCACCGTCGTCGTCTCTGGTTCGCTGTGCAAATGTTAAACAAATTAGTAGGGTAAATATCACTGAATCGTCTACCGCTAATTCCGGCCACACCCAGTATGGCGCCTGACCTTACCGTAAGCATTCATTCATTATCGTACCGACCTTCTATCTTTCCCACGATCTTTCCATCCACCCATACGACCTGGAGGCGCGCGTACAACTGCTTTGTTTTATCTACCAGCGTGCCATGCTGTTACAGTACTTTATTCTCGATGGTTCAATAGTAACAATGTTGTAGGTTCCTGCTGATATTGTTTTCGGGTTTACTAGATGGGACGTAGTTATTGTAGATTGTGGTGGTAGAGATTTGAATGTGAACTGAGAATGTCGAGAATGGGTGATGAGAATATGGTGTGTGTGGATATGGATGTGAATTTTGGTTTAGATGTGGTTGTGGTTGTGGGTGTGTGGGATATAGATGTGGATGTGATTGTGGGTGTTGGTGTGGATGTTGTTGTGGGTGTGTGGGATATAGATGTGGATGTGATTGTGGGTTTGGATGTGGGTGTGGGTGTGTGGGATATAGATGTGGATGTGATTGTGGGTTAAATGTGGTTGTGGGTGTGGGTGTGGGGGATATAGATGTGGATGTGATTGTGGGTTTAGATGTGGTTGTGGTTGTGGGTGTGTAGGATATAGATGTGGATGTGATTGTGGGTTTAGATGTGGGTGTGGGTGTGGGTGTGTGGGATATGGATGTGGATGTGATTGTGGGTTTAGATGTGGTTGTTGGTGTGGGTGTGTGGGATATAGATGTGGATGTGATTGTGGGTTTTGGTGTGGATGTTGTTGTGGGTTTAGGTGTGGTTGTGGGTGTATAAGAGAAATGGTTGTTGATGTGAGTGTGTGTGTGTGGACGTGATTGTGGATGTGGATGTGGATGTGGATATAGATGTGGATGTGGATGTGTACGTGGATGTGGATGTGGATATGGATGTGGAATAAATGTTGCTATTCTACTTAGCTGACATAAATATAACAGTTAAAAAAATAACAAGCTGAACAAATTACCTATCACAATCAGCCCGTCATTTTTTACTAATCTCCCATGACACTTAAACAACATTTAAAAAATCTTGATACCCAAATTATGCTATTGACATCCGTAGCAGGAGGTCCACTTGTGCAATATAAACTGTTGCCCTTACACCATGCCTGTCGTAGCGTGTGCGTTTGCACTGCAATTACCGCACCAATCAGCGGGTTAACGTGTGTCTGCTGTGGAAATGCCACCAGCAACCGCAACAGGGATAAACTGATGATGTTGTTAAACACTTCCACTGAGTCCGACTTAAGTTTCCCATGTAATGCTCATTACATTATCTACCATCAACCGTCATTAGTCCTTATTCATTAGCGGTTGGTAGCTCGGTGGTTAAAGCTGTCGTCACGACGCTGGAATATTACTAACAGCGGCGTAAAACCAAACTGACTCACTCACTATCAATAAACCTCGCCATTACCGTCAGGTTTCTTGCATCAAGACATATGGGTTAGCTCAGTGGTAATTTCGTTTGCGACACACATAACTAACTAGTGAGTGAGTGCGTATGGTTTTACGCCGCTTTAAGCAATATTCCAGCAATATCACGGTGGGGGTCACCAGAAATGGGCTTCACACATTGTACCCATGTCGGGAATCGAACCCGGGTCTTCGGCGTGACGAGCGAACGCTTTAACCACTAGGCTACCCGACCGCCCCACACATAACTAAAAGAGAGCAGGCAATATTATCGTTCAGGGGACGAACATCAAACCCTCTGGTATGGCAAGTGGTGGTTCGATTCCAGCTGTAGCCAAAATGTAATAATATATTTGCTGGTGTGTACAGGCAGGGTGTGGTTGTTAGTCACAGTTAGTGAAATGCTTCTTAACTTTTTTCATCCTGAAAATTAATGTCTTGTTTTCATTTTTTTCAGATCGGCAAAAGAAGATGTAGAACTTCCCCATATTTTCCCTCCCTCACCTCACATTCCAACAACAGTTTTTGCAAATGAATACTTTTTGCAAAGGTTGGTACTTCTTGATTTAATTATGTGTCAGTACATTTACATGGCTGCCAAGTTGAGCTGGCACAGATTTCCAGGCTAGTTTAACCACAGACTGTCGTGATCTTAATATTACAGTCTAGTAGATTATTTTTAGACCGCCGTCGTATAGCTGGAATATTGCTGAGTGCGGCATTAAACAAGCACACAAAGAAATCCTTTACAGATTTTACCTTTGCACAATTAAAGTGTCTCTGTGTATTCCTGTTCGGTTTGCACAAGTAGGTAGAGTTTTGTGTTTAATTGTTTTACGCCGCACTCAGCAATATTCTAGCTATATCCCAATTGCGTGGATCGGTGCTCATGATGTCAATCACTGGATTGTCTGGTCCAGATTCGCTTGTTTACAGACCGCTGTCATATTGCTGAGTGCGGCGTTAAACAACAAACAAACAGACAAATCTTATGCTTACTGCATGTGTGAAATCCTTTACAAGCTAGGGGGCACGGGTGGCTCAGTCGTCTAAGGCGCCGCGATTCGCTGGGCAGAGTTGCGTCCCTTGGGCACGCCAGAAACCTATGATTGTTGGTTCGAATCCCGGTTCGCCCCGATTATGTTTCTAGGTTTGTCAGCACCATACCCGTGCTCGTGGGTTTCACCGAAGTGGTAAACGTCTGAGACCTGTATCACTTCGGGCTTTCCTCCCACATTAAGCTGACACGCCGTGATATAACTGGAATACTGTTAAAAGCGGCGTTAAACCCAACTCACTCACTCACTTTACAAGTTAATGTAACATTTACTTTTGCACAATATAAGTGACTCTGTGTATTTATTTTCAGTTTGCACAAGTTAGCCGACAGTGGCTCCTTCAAGATCCCGCGACCGACCTATGTTGATCCTACAATATATGAAGAATATTTCTAGTCGGACAGTAGAGGCTTCGTTACCATCACCCACGAGCACCTAGTGACCCCAAGCGTGACCTTGGCAGCATAAGTGTGGACACTGAACACGTGCTGAACACGTTGCAAACAGACACTGATAGTGCATCCAGTGTGATGAAAGGACAGTCAACAATGAATGAGTGTATCATAAACAAAGGATTGAAAACAAAGGCTGTACATATGTGAATTTCTCAACTTTCCTGTATATAAGAGTACGATTTTCTAGTCATAATGCAACCAGTGCTTTCTTAGATATTGCAGTGTGATTGGATCAAACTCACGTGAAGGCTGCACGTGACCGGTGCTGATTGAGGTCAAGGCTGTGCCATGACCTTGGTCACCGTATGCTCTCATTCGTCTTTCCCGTTTTAATATTCATTCACTGACCTTGACCTGAAGGAAACACTACTTTGTGAATGGAGAACTGGTGTAAAATAATTGTGTAATTGTTTGTGTAGAATGATAAAAAATGTGGTGTGCGTTGTCAACATAGTGTGGAAACTCCTTGTGTGCGTGTATGCTTTGTAAGGCCCCAAGGCATACAATTATCTTGCAATAAATCAGTAATATGGCACGTACGTTGCGGACCCACAGGAATCACAAACAGAAGGACTTTCTGCAGAGATGACACAGGGAGGACGTTAATATAAACGCAAATGACAGAGAATAACCAGTCTCGATTATCCACCGAAACAGATTCCATTGGGCATTATAGATGAAATAGCAGTGAAGATTATGTGAATGGATCGCTGAAAGTCAGTGACGACATCGGGTGTTTTCGAAAAGTGAAAACGAAAACTAAAACGAAAGTAAACTGTGTGTTATAAACATGTTCATAAATCCTATGGGCATCTTTTTGTGTCGTTGGTTACCTGAATGTTTCTTCAACTAAGTCTGAGATATAATATTTGCACATTGGTCAATTTAGTTATGGTTTATATAATCCTGGAGCATAGATTTCACTCTTTAAGCAAACATGTTCACAGTTGGTACTATGGAACTCCCAAGAATATGTGCTATAGTAAGGAAATTATGTACGAAAATAATCATCTGCACCTGTAGAAACACGATTTCTGTATGTAATGATCAATATTTGTGGATTACATGTACCATTATGTTCATAGGACAGTTGGATTCATAATATATTATAGTTAGCTACGTCATAAACTATCAAATGTAACTGAAGTGCCCAAGTGGTTAAATCAACCACTATATATAACACGTCAACGCCAGAGAAATCTGTCTGGACTAGCTGCCGAAACAGATTCCATTTGGCGTTAGAGCAAATTGCGGTGAAAAGTTTATGAAGAGTCACTGAAAATCATTGATAACCCCAGGTGTTCATGAAATGCATGAAACGTTTGGTTTGGCTACGTTTTGCCAATCCAACAAATTCCACTTCCCTTAAGACATTTACAGGCAGTTACAAGCAGTTACAGGCAGTTACAAGCGGTTACAGGCAGTTACAAGCGGTTACAGGCAGTAACAAGCAGTTACCGGCTATGGTCCTTTGTCTGCAACAAGATTGTATTGCTGGTATCCCGTGATATACCTCATTATGTTCCCAAAGACAAATGTACATAGATCGATTCCTTAAGTTTGTACTCCTCAATGTATCATATTACTGTAACATTAAGAAACAGACCTATAGTGATGTTTAGACACTTTTAGATTTCAAGGTTTAGAATTGTTACAGATTTTGTTTTTTAACAGCAACAATATGATATTTCTGTGGTTAGTATCTCAGCTGTTACTTCTATTCCAGAAAACATCAAATTCAGAATATTTAGTAACTTAATACAGGTTTTAATCATTCTGAAGATCCCATCGACATCCAATTTTTGTACATCGTCATATGCCATATAATTGTTATTATCACAGCCATTTCAGCATTTATTTTCTTCATAGTTTCATCTCAACATCAAAATCATGTATCGTTTTATACCTTGGCACTGCATCTCAGTCTCGCAATATCAATACAGTGAAACTATCAGGATAATGGTTACTTATTGTAGATGCATATTTGTATCTCATTAACTGGAAATATTTACTTTATAGAGAAATTAATTTTACATAATTCTTCTTTTGGAATCGCCAACATGACGCTGCAAGTTAGGAAGTGGTGGTAAATGTGACTTAGTGTCTTCAGGGAGTGTTCCATAGCCATAATATTGAGACGTGTTTACATAATTGGTATCATGTGCAATATCTGAGACCAAAGACGGGGAAAATAACTTTTTTTGCTCATGGACAGATAAGTCGTACACGTAGGAATAAGACGTCATATTCATCAAGCTGATGTCGTACCATGAAAATTTTGTTTCTCACCCGAGTTATTTTCAAAAAGAACCACGCTTTTCCCTTTTACTCAGTAGGGAGGAACTACTCGGGCCGCCATGGAGGCACACCCGACTCGTATACAGCCGAGTGGCCGCGAATCAATTTAGTAAGGAAGATAACTCTTACTTTTAAAGTCCGGACAACCTTCTTATTCATGAAACCGTTATTTACCGGGCAGATCCGAACTTTATTGTTCGTTCAGAAGAACCCTTCACATGATAAACTTGTTTCATACTATTCATGGCCTAAGTGGGTATACCCAATTTGAATCATTCTTACCTGTTTGCTCATTGTTTTGTAAATGGCATAATGAATCATTCTGCTTCTCTCGCACTGATAAACATTGTAAAATAATTTTTAGAGATAACTGCAAATGAGTCTTATAACCGAGGGAGACTTATGGTTATATTTAAATTTCGTTGCACATTATGCTTTGCAGGAATCATTTGTTTTTTGACAAAGTGGGTGAAAACTTTGTCATTCTTTGTAGTAATGTTGCCTCGGAAATCTTTGTGTGTCAGTTTCTTAACCGCATCTTGCTTTCATCTCGTCATAATAGACATGAAACCAGAACTGGATGATGTAAATCTCAATAAGGGCTCTTAACCACTTATCAGTTAGGCCCCAAATGAGTATATGTAAAGCAAATTTTGATTTTATTTTGTTGTACGAATCGTCAGTGATTTGTATGGCTTGAAAGTCACAGTGAATGGAAGATGTATGCTAACAGGAGTTGTGTCCCTTTGCACATGGATGATCCGTTTCCATACCTGTCACGTGCTCTAGGCACATCGTGAGTGCTGGCGTCATTTCTATTTATAGAACACTTCACGTGTTCACTATTGAATTCAGAACCTTTCTGTCGGAATAGGTCCTATTGAATCTTGAATGCGAGGAGTGATTCCAGTAGATGAACTACTCAAACAGAGTTAAGGACTCCCGATTCTTTCCTATTACCATAGTTAATCCATCATGCCTTGACAGGTTAACTTTAGTAATATAACAGAATCGGGGGGTCCTTAGCATTTTTTGAGTGATATATGTTAAGGTAATCCGGAATCACGTCGCACATTTAATATTTTATACAAGTCGACAGAAACGTTCCAAATGAAAAAAAAATGTGCCTCCATTTTACCTTGTTGTCTTAGAATACGAAGAGCCGTCTGTGTGTGCCTTATCGTCAACAGAGGTGACTGGCAAACTGGCTTATTTATTGATTGTGTACATAGTATGCTCGACTGAATTTGAAATAAAATATGAAACATTAACGTATCCTTTGTTTGTGTTCCTACCTTAGTAAGTTATGTCTGTCGCGATCATGGGTTCGAATCCCAGATCGCTTTGATTATATTCTAGGTTTGTCAGCATCATTCCTGTCTTCGGAGTTTGATTTCGGGCTTTCCTCGCACAATAAGCTGACACGCCGTGATATAACTGTAGTATTTGTAAAAGCGACTACCTCGTGAAGATCCGGGTTAGAATAGGTCTTCAGCAGCCCGTGCTTGCCGTAGCAGGCGACTATGTTTGTCGCAAGAGGCGACTAACGGGATCGGGTGGTCAGGCTCGCTGACTAAGTTGATGCATGTCATCGTTTCCCAATTGCCTGGATCGATGCTCATGATGCCAAACACTGGATTGTCTGGTCCAGACTCGATTATTTACAAACCGCCATCGTATAGCGGGAATATTGCTGAGTGCGGAGTTAAACAACAAAGAAGCTAAAGAAACAAACAAATCAAAGCGGCTTTAAAACAAACTCACTAATTCACCTTAATCAAGACTTCCATTGAAAGTGGCCTAACACTACCGGAGGCAAGATGGAAGCACTTGTGATGGGTGCAAATGAACAAGGGTCGTGATGTAGCTCAGTGGTTAAAGCGTTAGCTCGTCACGCCGAAGGTCCAAGTTCGATTTTTCACATTGGTACATATGTGAAACCCATATTGGGTGTCTCCCGACATGACCTTGCTGGGCTATTGCTAAAAGCGCCGTAGGACCACTAACTCAATCGCTGATGGGCATCTAGGAAGGAAGACGAGTGCCTTACATTATAGAACATGGGGCCATATCACAGCGCGATCACAGTGCTGGAGACCTTACATTATAGAACATGGGACCCGTGTCACAGAGAGATCACCGTTAGTGCCTTTCATCATAGAATATGGGACCCGTGTCACATTGCGATCACAGTGCTGGCGACCTTACATTATAGAACATAGGACCCGTGTGACAGAGCGATCACCGTTAGTGCCTTACATTATAGAACATAGGACCCGTGTGACAGAGCGATCACCGTTAGTGCCATACATTATAGAACATGGGACCCGTGTGACAGAGCGATCACCGTTAGTGCCTCACATTATAGAATACAGGACCCGTGTGACAGAGCGATAAACGTTAGTGCCTCACATTATAGAACATTGGACCCGTGTCACAGGGCTATCACCGTTAGTGCCTCACATTATAGAACATTGGACCCGTGTCACGGAGCTATCACCGTTAGTGCCATACATTATAGAACATAGGACCCGTGTGACAGAGCGATCACCGTTAGTGCCATACATTATAGAACATGGGACCCGTGTGACAGAGCGATCACAGTGCTGGCGACCTTACATTATAGAACATGGGACCCTTGTCACAGAGCGATCACCGTCAGTGCCTCACATTATAGAACATTGGACCCGTGTCACAGAGCGATCACAGTGCTGGCGACTTTACATTATAGAACATAGGACCCGTGTCACAGAGCTATCACCGTTAGTGCCTCACATTATAGAACATTGGACCCGTGTCACAGAGCTATCACCGTTAGTGCCTCACATTATAGAACATGGGACCCGTGTCACAGAGCGATCACAGTGCTGGCGACCTTACATTATAGAACATTGGACCCGTGTCACAGAGCGATCATAATGCGGCTACCTCGGGAACCAACCATTCAATATGTTGGGGGGAAGACTTGGGATTTTTTACGGCGAGTAGATCTGTTTTTTTAGCTACAGTTGAACCAATTTAATTTTACACAAAATTTCCCAGCCGCAGATTACTTTTTACAAACTGTTGCAGGAATGAGTGATGGTTTGATAGACATGATCAAATTTAACAACAGCTCTTTCAAGTTTCAATTTCATAAAAAACACGGTATACGTTTTTCTCCCCTCAGTTCAGTAATATGACGCTCAGTCATTCGCCGGTCGGTCATCACCATGAAGTGGCTTCTCTGGATCTTTCGGTGTTGCTGACGTCACAGGCCTTTCAGGACGGGATATCTTCTTTAAGGCTCTCCCTGCCATGCTTAAACTCTGCTGACCACCTCTTGACAGTCAGTACCTCCCTCGTGTTGTACTCATATCTCAAGGGGCGGTGGGTTAGCCTAGAGGTTAAAGCGTTCCCTCTTCACGTCGATTCCCCACATGGGTACAATGTGTGATTTCTGGTGTACCGTGCTGGAATATTGCTAAAAGCGTTGTAAAACCATACTTTCTCATATCTTCATGCATTCTGTAAGTACTTGATCACTGCACAGTCCTCAAGTTTGTCCATTTAGCAAAGGGCATAAACCTCTGCCTACGTCACTGACTCTTCGCAGCATAACAATTTGCTAAGATGACATTAGTTTTTGTGGATATACCTCTATGAAATTATGTAATGTCCAAACGACCGGTGAAGATCTGGGGTAGAATAGGTCTTCAGCAACCCATGCTTGCAGGAAAAGGCGACTGAGCTTGTCGTGAGAGGCGTGACTTGGTTGATGCATGTCATTGTATCCCAATTGCGTGGATCGATGCTCATGATGTCAGTCACTGGGTTGTCTGGTACAGACTCGAATATTTACAGATCGCCGTCATATAGCTGGAATATTGCTGAGTGCGGCGTTAAACAACAAAGAAAGTATGAAACAAACACAACCAAACATTTCACTGTTACGCACTTCCTTTGTTTATGAGGTTCGGTACTTATCAATGAATCTCCTATGTAAAATTCAAATACATGTCTTGAACCCAGTGCACATTTGTGGAAGTGAGTTGTATATTCTGTAGTGCACATTGAGACATTTACTGATGGGACGACCTTAAGCCCCCTTTTGGCGCACACACTTTAGCGTCTGTGTGCACGTGACGTTCATGGATTATGTGAAATTTCATTGTGATTAGAATGCAACGCCACGGTATTGTTAATGTACACTTCAGCAATAGCTTCTTTCAGACCATTCGTTCCCTTAGCTTCTGTCGGTAGTATATATATATATATTTACTTAGTTCAAAGGCTCACAAGACAAAACAAAGAAGCTTTTAATCCCCCGTGGGGATTCCGGGTTCGAATTTGTCCCCAGCAACCCATGCTGGTCGTAAGAGGCGACAGATCTGATGATCAGGCTCGTATCCCAACAGTGTGGATCGTTGTTCATAATATCAATCACTTGATGGTCTGGCTGTAATATTGCTAAGTTCGGCGTTAAACAACACAACAATCTATGGAAAAGTCTCGGGGTGAATGCAATATAATTCTGACTATAAATAACTTAAGCATTTTAAATTTAACGGGTAGATTTTGCTCGAAATGGAAGAGCGTTAGTTCTTTATGTTTGATCAACATATGAAAAAAACGATCAATAAAGTGTTGTTTTTTTTATCCCCGTGTTTTTTACTCACGCTATTGGTGAGGTGAGGTTAGGCGGCGTGAGCCGAGGTGAGGTGAGGTGAGGTGAGGTGAGGTGAGGTGTATGTGGTTTAACATCGCGTCCAAGATTATAGCGACCTGCATGAAGGTAATGTAACCTTTGACCCCATTGTAAAAACGCGGCTGTTCGTGGGAGGCAACCACGTGTCGAATCAAGGCCAGCATGAGATTGTAGTCTCTCGACGGCGACCTCACTGTTGTGTTCGTGATGTCGACGTGTGTGTGTTTAGTGTCATTGCTGCTGCTGTTGTCAGGACACGAAGCTTCCAGGAGGTACGAGGATGACTTTTATTACGGCACCTTCCCTGACGGGTTTCTTTGGAGCACTGCGACAGCGGCCTACCAAGTAGAAGGGGCGTGGAACGAAGACGGTACACTAGTTAGGTGTGAGTGAGTGAGTGAGTGAACGCCGCCGTTGGCACTACTCCTGTTATATCATAACTGCCTGTAAATATTCGAGCCTGTGTCACACAAACCAGTGATTGATAGCACGAGCAAGGATCAACACGCAGTAAAATAAGTCATACAGTGTACATCCTCGATCCTTACTTAACGGATTCTTTCGACATGGTTTGGATACGAGGGAGCTGTTTCTTGATCCAAGCTGACAACAATGAAGACAGCTTGTGAACACTTCATCTCAGGCAGACTGAAGTTACTCCTGCTTAAGTTTACATACAACATCCTTCTTGACCAACTCGTGTTTTTCCGGGACAAGCCGAATAGCGACTCGTGCCCCGCTCATGGCCATTTTTGCGACCGGGTTCCGTCTCAGCGCAAACGTGCATACCTAAAACAATTGTCAACTCTTTGCGTAATGGTTCACATATATTTCCCCATATATTATATATATTTCAGATGCAATTTAAAGCACATCGGGACGTGCGGAATTATACAGTATGGTTGACCACATTTAACTGTGTCTTTGGTTTATTTTTAGATGAAAGACATATATAAAATCAAAGATTATTTCTGAGGGATTCTTTGACGAAGAACATGAAATCATACGCGCATTCTGATTGGTTTGTCGTATTTTCGCACGTAACATTCATCGATCGGGGAACACGAGTCTTCTTGCAGGTTACGGAAAGGGGCGAGTGGTGACGAATGTAGGGGGACGAGTCTTCTTGCAGGTTACGGAAAGGGGCGAGTGGTGACGAATGTAGGGGGACGAGTCTTCGTGCAATTTACGGAAAGGGGCGAGTGGTGACGAATGATACAACATGTATGACTCTACCACTACAATCCTTGAGTTGTCCAAATGTTCATAGAAGTAAAAATCCTTGTGGCTTCCCTATAAATTTAAAATTTACCTAATTGAAGTTTCCAAGAGCGTAGCAATCGTTTAAACAAGACAACGCGCTTCAATATGTGTTGTCAGATTTTCGTCTCTACAAAAGCCTTCTTCCGCAAAATACTGATAAAAATACATATATAAGCTAGATAATGGCCAACATACAAATGTGACTCGGCTATAAGCTAGATAATATCTACATACAAATATGGCTCAGTTATAAGCTAGATACTACCCGACATACAAATATGACTTAGATATAGCGAGATCCCTTATTTTCCATGAGCGTCCCCAGAATGAGCAGAGTGGGTGTACATGTCAAGTTTTCTTTCAGCACACTCCATATTAACATAAAATTATTGTAACCGAAACCAATTATCAACATATACTACTCAAAAGAAGTAAAGGACCACCTGGTATTTTCACATTACTATAGTAAATCTGCCATGCCGCGCCATGAAAGATTAACTATAGTAATATGAAGGAATGGGGTGGTGCTGAACTTCTTTTGAGTAGTATATTTAAAACATTAAAACGGAGAGATACCGAAGCATGACATGACAGAATCTGGGAGACGTGTATTATCTCGCCTGATTAGGGAAAGGTCCGAGCATTGGGGATGGAAGATTAACTATAGTAATATGAAGGAATCGGGTTGTGCTGAACTTCTTTTGAGTAATATATTTAAAACATTAAAACGGAGAGATACCAAAGCATGACATGACAGAATCTGGGAGACGTGAATTATCTCGCCTGATTAGGGAAAGGTCCGAGCATTTGGGATGGAAGATTAACTATAGTAATATGAAGGAATCGGGTGGTGCTGAACTTCTTTTGAGCAGTATATTTAAAACATTAAAACGGAGAGATACCAAAGCATGACATGACAGAAACTGGGAGACGTGTATTATCTCGCCTGATCAGGGAAAGGTCCGAGCATTTGGGATGGAAGATTAACTATAGTAATATGAAGGAATCGGGTGGTGCTGAACTTCTTTTGAGTAGTATATTTATAACATTAAAACGGGGAGATACCAAAACATGACATGACAGAATCTGGGAGACGTGTATTATCTCGCCTGATTAGGGAAAGGTCCGAGCATTTGGGATGGAAGATTAACTATAGTAATATGAAGGAATCGGGTGGTGCTGAACCTTTTTTGAGTAGTATATTTAAAACATTAAAACGGAGAGATACCAAAGCATGACATGACAGAAACTGGGAGACGTGTATTATCTCGCCTGATCAGGGAAAGGTCCGAGCATTTGGGATGGAAGATTAACTATAGTAATATGAAGGAATCGGGTGGTGCTGAACTTCTTTTGAACAGTATATTTCAAACATTAAAACGGAGAGATACCAAAGCATGACATGACAGAAACTGGGAGACGTGTATTATCTCGCCTGATTAGGGAAAGGTCCGAGCATTTGGGATGGAAGATTAACTATAGTAATATGAAGGAATCGGGTGGTGCTTAACTTTTTTTGAGCAGTATATTTAAAACATTAAAACGGAGAGATACCAAAGCATGACATGACAGAAACTGGGAGACGTGTATTATCTCGCCTGATCAGGGAAAGGTCCGAGCATTTGGGATGGAAGATTAACTATAGTAATATGAAGGAATCGGGTGGTGCTGAACTTTTTTTTAGCAGTATATTTAAAACATTAAAACGGAGAGATACCAAAGCATGACATGACAGAAACTGGGAGTCGTGTATTATCTCGCCTGATTAGGGAAAGGTCCGAGCATTGGGGATGGAAGATTAACTATAGTAATATGAAGGAATCGGGTGGTGCTGAACTTCTTTTGAGCAGTATATTTAAAACATTAAAACGGAGAGATACCAAAGCATGACATGACAGAATCTGGGAGTCGTGTATTATCTCGCCTGATTAGGGAAAGGTCCGAGCATTTGGGATGGAAGATTAACTATAGTAATATGAAGGAATCGGTTGGTGCTGAACTTCTTTTGAGCAGTATATTTAAAACATTAAAACGGAGAGATACCAAAGCATGACATGACAGAGACGTGTATTATCTCGCCTGATTAGGGAAAGGTCCGAGCATTTGGGATGTGTACGTGAGGGAGCCGGGGAAGATTGTGGGCGGGGCCACGGGGGACGTCTCCTGCGACAGCTACCACAACTACCGAGAGGATGTACAACTACTCAAGACCCTGGGGGTACGTTGACGAACAATCAATCAAGCTTTCCCCAAACCACCAATAGCAGTACATAAGTATTTACATAATTATATACATAATACAGTATTCATAACAAGATGACATTTGTATGCAAAATGTTCAATTTGATTTTTTTCAATTTTACTTAAGGGGCGGTTGGTTAGCCTAGTGGTTAAACCGTTTGATCGTAACGCCGAAGACCCGGGTTCGATTTCCGACATGGGTACAATGTGTGAAGCCCATTTCTGGTGTCCCCCGCCGTGATATTGCTGGAATATTGCTAAAAGCGGCGTAAAACCCTACGCACTCACTCACTCAATTTTACTTAACAGTTGTATGATAAATCTGGCCAAATTTCTTAAATCTTTAACGTTACATAAGTTATGTTATTTACACATTTTGAACAGGTTTGGCCAGATGATAAATATTTTAGGAATTATGTCAATTCTTTGTTGGAAAAGAGCTTCAAATCAAAAGAGATAATGAAACTCGTTTCCAACTACAGTAGAGTGAAATGATTGGCAATGTTGTTCTTCTTTTGGATCCCCTTGTATTTGTAAAATATACGCCTTGAGAGTGTGCGCGCGTGCGTGCGTGCGTGCGTGCGTGCGTGCATGCGTGCGTAGGTGAGTGAACAATATTCATATTTCAGTTCAGATATCAGTCCATGTGTAATACATTCCGCCGTTATAACACATGTTCTTGGAATGAATTTTGTCCATCCTCTGTAAACCTGAATGAGTTTCAGTCACCAATGGCGACAGTTTCTGTTCAAAAGGTGTCCCACTACCGGTTCTCAATATCCTGGCCACGAGTGATGCCTTATGGGAACGGTACTGTCATCAACCAATCAGGACTGGACTACTATAACCGACTAATCAACGAGCTCCTTGCAAATGGGATCCAGCCAATGGTAACGATGTATCACTGGGACCTCCCTGAGGCTATCGAGGAAGACGGGGGATGGCTGAACGGAGACATTGTCGATCTCTTCACCGGCTACGCCAAGCTGTGCTTCAAAACGTTCGGTGATCGAGTAAGATATACTTAAAACAAAATCAACGACATACAACGCATGAATATTCGAATTAGGGTTGGTTGGTTGGTTTGTTCGTTGGTTTGTTGTTTAACGCCGCATTCAGCAATATTCCAGCTATATGACGGCGCTCTGTAAATAATCGAGTCTGGACCTGGCAATCCAGTGATTAATATCATGAGCATCGATCCACGCAATTGGGATCGATGACAAGAATCAACCAAGTCAGCGAGCCTGACCACAGGATCCCGTTAGTCGCCTTTTACGACAAGCATAGTCGCCTTTTACGGCAAGCATAGTCGCCTTTTACGACAAGCATAGTCGCCTTTTACGACAAGCATAGTCGCCTTTTACGACAAGCATAGTCACCTTTTACGACAAGCATAGTCGCCTTTTACGACAAGCATAGTCGCGAATTAGGGAAAAACGGACGAGTGAGTGAGTGAGTGAGTGAGTGAGTGAAAGTATGAAATACTACTAACTGAATACATCAGTTCGCGCAAGTATTTCAAAACGTGACTGTCGAATTGAGTGAGAGAATCTTGCCGCTCACTGAAACACATGTTACATCGGTCAATCTTCTCAGGAAAGCAACTACAGTAAACTACGGTTATAACGAACTCAAAGGGACCACTAATTTAAGTTCGTAATAACCGTAGTTCGTTATAAGCATATATACAGTATATCTGCAACAAATGTCCGGGACTAAAAAGAAGTTCGTTATATCTGTCAGTTTTTTATAAGCGTGTTCGTTATAAACGTAGTTTACTGTATGTCCGAAATATGCCTCTGTTTACCTTATTGGTACCCGGTAGAATCAGCTGGTAAGAGGACTGTTAACCTCTAGCGCCTTAATAGGCAGCTTGGCTTGTATACTCTTCTGGGAGCTGAGAATGAAAATCGAGTGCACACTGATCCATTGACGGGGGGAAGGGGTGGGGGTGTGGGGTGGGGGTGGGGGTGGTGGTGGTGGTGGTGGTGGGGTGTGGGGTGTGGGGGGTGGTACTGGAGCGCTTTGAGCACGCTTTAGGGTGTGGATATAGAGCATTATATACATGCACATTATAAATTTTATTATGTTCAGTTATTCCTGAAGGGGCTCTTGGCTCAAGTAAAATGGCAGTCCCGGCAAATGTTTGTCCAAAAGGTTTCAATCACCATTCTTTTTTTTCTAACTCAAATTCATGTTTTTTGTATCAATCTAATCAGTCGTCCACGTTACTCCAAGTTCAACTCAACTAATCACAACGTTTACATCTACACTGGAAATGGGTACCAGTTTGTAAAACATACCCCTCTTTGGTATCCGTTGAACAGGTGAAGTTCTGGATTACGTTCAACGAACCTTTGGTTGTGGCTGTGGGTGGGTACGGCGACGGGGGAAAAGCCCCGGGACTCCACCAGCCCGGCACATACCCCTACATCGTCGCCCACAACATAATAAAGAGTCACGCCAGCACCTACAGACTGTACGACGAGGAGTTCAGGGCGCTTCAGAAAGGTTAGCTAACTCTGATTACTATTCTCGAAAGCAAAACTGTGATCCTGTACGTTAATTAATGATTGAAAATTGTTTGACTATGATTGTTTATTTGTTGTTTAACTTCACACTGAAAATTCAAGCTGTATAACGGCGGCCTATAAATAATCGATTCTGAACGCATAAACCAATGATTGATATCATGAGCAACGTCCCTGCCATCGGGGTACGATAACACGCCATCAACTACGACACCGAGCCTGACCACCAGATCCATTTGGTATAGTTTCAGATGCTGGGGATCAATTCTAACCAGGAATCTCCTCGGGGACCCATAGTCCGTATCGGGAGATCAAAAGTTTCTTTTTTGTTAATTCTGTGAGCGTTTGAACTTGTATGATCTGACAGACATATATAGTTTTTTTTATCGTTACTCGTATGCAGGCCAGGTCGGCATTACTCTGAGTATGGTGTACAACCAACCCAAAGACCCCAACAGTGCAGCTGATAGGGATGCAGCTGAACGGGCCAGTCAGTTTGAACATGGCTGGTTCGCTCACCCAATCACTGTGAACGGCGAGTACCCGGATGTGATGAGGTCACAGGTGGACATGAAGAGTAAAGAGGAGGGTCTCACCACCTCCAGACTCCCGCACTTCACGGATGACGAGAAGAGGCGGATAAACGGTAAAGGAAATAATCTTTTTTTTTGTTTTATGCCGCAATATTCCAGATATTAACAGTTTACAACGGCAGGCTGTAAATAATTGGGGGCGGTCGGGTAGCCTAGTGGTTAAAGCTTTCGCTCGTCACGCCGAAGACCCGGGTTCGATTTCCGACATGGGTACAATGTGTGAAGCCCATTTCTCGTGTCCCCCGCCGTGATATTGCTGGAATATTGCTAAATGCGGCGTAAAACCATACTCACTGTAAATAATTGAGTTTGGACCAGACAAAGCATTGATATATACTAGTTGATTGAGCCTGGCCAACCAACCCTTTTTTTAACCGGCTCTTGCGACAAGCATAGGCTGCTGTGAACCAACTCTAATCTTGAATCTCTACTGGGGTAAATTCATATTGATGTAACTGCTTGTTTTTTGTTTAACGCCACACTCTGTAATGTATCAACTATATGACGAAAGGCTGTAACTAATCAAGTCTGGACCAGACAATCTAGTTATCGATGTTGTGTGCAACAATCGAAGCCTTCGGGAGGGGTGGACATGCAATCAAACAAGTCACCGAGCCTGACCACCGATCCATTTGGTCGCCACTTTACGACCAGCATGGGTTGCTGGGGTGTAGTGCTAACCCGGAATCACCAGGGGTGTTGATATAATTGACCAATGAATGTTTTCATGTTTGTTATACGCCGCAGCTGTATCACGAGTACCGTTAGCTAATAATAAGCGAGCCTGGTCCGGGCAAATCAGTGGTTGACAGCATGAGCAGTTCGGGCACATAAACACACATTCAGACAGGTCACACTTTGTGAAAAAATTCGACAAAATTCATTTCATAAACATAAGAAATACCGAAAATCAGAGTCTATTGTACGATTCCGACTATGTTATGAGTATGTGTTCATGAATCTCTTTCAAATAGTGTTGATGAGATGTTCTCGCGGAAAGTTGAGCGTATCCTACTCCCCCGTTGAACCAGTCATAAACACATGCAAAGGCAAGTTAATTGTAACTGCCCGATCTGCTCTTACGACTCACCCGCCAACCCTCCAACTAACCAAATCACTCACTCACTCACTCCAACAGCTTACCACTCACTCACTCACTCACTCACTCACTCACTCACTCACCCAACACCCACCCACCCACTCACTCACTCACTCCAACAGCTTACCACTCACTCACTCACTCACTCACTCACTCACTCACTCACTCAACACCCACTCACTCACCACTCACTCACTCACCACTCACTCACTCACTCACTCACTCACTCACTCACTCACTCAATCACTCACTCACTCAATCACTCACTCACTCACTCACTCACTCACCCAACACCCACTCACTCACCACTCACTCACTCACTCAACCACTCACTCAACCACTCACTCAACCACTCACTCAACCACTCACTCAGTCACCAATGTTCTTCTTCCAAGGCACTGCCGACTTCTTGGGCCTGAATTACTACACGTCGAACCTTGCGTCCCCCCAGGCCAGTCCCTTCAACCCCCCGAGCTACCACTCCGACCAGGACGTGCTCCTTGAGCAGGACCCCAAGTGGCCCAAGTACGACCATTACCCATTACGTCACATCAGTCCTCTAAATTCCGGTCAAACAGAGCGGAGGCGCCGGGAAACCATTCGTCACCGTTCGTCACCACCTCTTGTCATTCCGGCACAAGTCAATTGGCGATATTTGTAGCAGGTCACGGAAAGGGGCGAGGACTTAGGCCAAGGAATCCACTTTGAATATTTTTCGTCTTCAGATATTTTCTAGTATGTAAAAATATAAAAAGTGAAAGTCACAATTGTTTCACCATACTGAATAACAAATAGCATCAAGTGTAATTTTATAATATTTAGGAAAATATCCACAAAACACACAAAACAATGGCGGATGAGTACAACATTTTGGCCAAAGACGGAACCGAATTTGCACGAATCGTTATTCGGCTTATTCCGGATTGACACGAGAGGTCACGAATGACCGGAAAAAAGAAAATGTATTTTCATTCCTTTTTTCACTTAAATGACAAATATATATAATTAAATTTTAATAAGTAAGTATCATTATGACTTAATTTGGATTCACACTTATAACAATACATACACCTTAGTATATAATGTGTCCTTTATTGTCTAATGTAGCGAGTGGCCAGTTATCTTATTATCAACAGAATATATTCACACATATTACACAAATACGGTACTTCCCAGGAAAAGCGAGACACTCAGAATCTGATTAAGCAGTTTAGCGGTTATGACGTCATTTCCTTTTTCCTAGATCCGGGTCTTCGTGGTTACGGTACACGCCGAAAGGAGCACGGGCCGTGTTGAACTGGCTGAAGGTCACGTACAAGAACATGCCCATCTACGTAACGGAAAACGGCGTCTCCGACAACAACGGCAGCTTGCACGACTTCTACAGAGTGAACTACTACAGAGATTATCTGGACGAGATGTTGAAAGGTGAATGCATCAACAAACGGTTTCCATGGTTATACAGGGAAGACCTTTGTTTCCGGAACCCCCGACTTCCGGGTGTTTGAACCAAAAGGTCATGTCCCCAAATCCGTGAATCCTTAAACCGGATAATGTGTTAATCCGGATGATTATTATTTGAAACGTCTGTGAAAACCCCGGACCCCGGTTTTCCAGTAACCGTGATCGCGTCCGTTGGCTTGCGGATAGTCTGTCTGCCCGGCGAGAAGAAAGCGCATGACCGCGTCAGACAAAAGACGTTAAATGATGGTACTTGTTGTTACCTTGTGTGAGTGGTTTTTTTATCTTAAACTGCGGCATGGTACATGTATATCAGTGGGGTCTAGCACAATAGTATCGGCCTTAGTCCGGCCTAGTTCAAGCAGACCCCCCCCCCCCCCCCCCCCCCCCCCCCCCTCCCCACACACACACAATATTTGATTGACATTATTATAGAAGTAATGAGTGTGTATGGTTTTATGCCGCTTTTAGCAATATCCCAGCAATATCACGACGGGGGACACCAGGAATGGGCTTCACCAATGTACCCATGTTGGGAATCGAACCCGGGTCTTCGGCGTGTCGAGCGAACGCTTAACCACTTGGCTACCCAACCACCCCAACATTTAACAACATCTGTTTTGTTCTTCAGGATGTTCCAGGGCTAATTCTGTATCCACCTTCCCAGCATTAACCAATACAGCTGTCGGCAATAATCACGACCACAACATAGACGCTACATGTGTTACATTGTCACCCCACACCCAGCTAAATCACCCTGGGCCTTCATTGCCTTCTCTACCATGTAGTTTTGTTATTTTTGTACTTTAGTCTTATCCTGTGTAAGCATAACCTGACTATATATGACTCAACATGTATTAGTTCATGTGCGAAATCCGTTCTACCGGAAGCTTTCGTAAAAATCTCCAACATCGACATCAAAAGTTCAGTACTTCAACTGGGGTGGGTTTGAGGTGAGGTGAGGTGAGGTGAGGTGAGGTGAGGTGAGGTGAGGTGAGGTGGGGTGAGGTGAGGTGAGGTGGGATGGGTTGGGGTTGGGTAGAGGTGAGGTGAGGTGAGGTGAGGTGAGGTGAGGTGAGGTGAGGTGAGGTGAGGTGGGATGGGTTGGGGTTGGGTAGAGGTGAGGTGAGGTGAGGTGAGGTGAGGTGAGGTGAGGTGAGGTGAGGTTAAACGTCGCGTTGCATATACCGACGAGCATGCACGTGTGGTATGTGTGTGTTTCTGCTTGTACTTGTCCGGACTAATGCCGGTTTTATGGTGCCAGCCAACAAAGATACCATGCCGCAGTTGAACACGAATACCCGACTCATAGTATTCGGACCCCGAGCCGACCAGTGCTTGTTCTATCCACTTAATGCCGAGCGCCATTATACTATTTAGGTATGACGCGGCCGTAGATCAAACCACCGACCTTTCGCTTTCCGGGCAAACGCTCTACCGACTAGACCACGGAGGTGGACGGTGATAAGTATTCCATCTTCCCGAAGCAAGGGAATTAACTGACTTTTAAAGTCCAGTTTCCACCCTTGCCGAACTAGACTGGAATTCCGGAGTTACATTTTGGCTGGACAAACGAGTCTATGCATAGTCCAATCAAAATTGCGAAACGAACTAGACATCCGGTTCGTAAACAACATGGGTTTCAGCGTGCAGATTTCGGTGGATTGAAGGATTTGCAAATCACGTGTACCGCCAAAATGGCGTCTACAGATATTATGCAAATCGTTTTATGTTTTTAATGAAGGTGGTCAAATGATTTGATGCACTTCGCGGGGTAATGCCCGTTTTATTACAATATAGATTTTGATTATCGAGCAGATTGTCTTGACAGGGCGCCGCAAATGCAAGTGACATGAGAGGTGGAATCTGATTGGTCAATAGGAGGGACATGAAAGGGACACAACTCGGGAAGGTGGAAGTAGTCCTGAAACCAACAAACAATACAGAGTTGTTATTGCTATTGCTTCTATTTCCAGCCGTTCGTCTTGACGGGTGTAATCTGAGAGGCTACACATCCTGGTCTTTGATGGACAACTTCGAGTGGGCTCGGGGATACTCGGAGAAGTTCGGCCTTCATTACGTCAACTTCTCGGACCCCGCGAGACCACGCATACCTAAAGACTCTGCTAAATTCATAGCTCAAGTCATCGCAGATAATGGCTTTAAGCCACCGAATTCTGAGGAACATTCTTTATGATTTATCCAATAATAAAAAATCTCAATCATGTAAACAAGATAAGTTGTTTGTCTTCTGTTGCTACTCCGGCCCTACAGCTGCTGTTGTTGCTAATCTGGTCCTACAGCTGCTGTTGTTGCTACTCCGGACCTACAGCTGCTGTTGTTGCTACTCCAGTCCTACAGCTAATGTTGTTGCTAATCTGGTCCTACAGCTGCTGTTGTGGCTACTACTGTCCTACATCTGCTGTTGTTGCTAATCTGGTCATACAGCTGGTGCTGGTGCTACTCCTGTCCTACAGCTGATGTTGCTAAGCTGGTCCTACAGCTGCTGTTGTTACTTCCAGCTGATGTTGCTGCTCCGGTCCTAAAGCTGCTGTTGTTGCTAATCTGGACCTACAGCTGCTGTTGTTGCTGCTCCGGTCCTAAAGCTGCTGTTGTGGCTATTCCGGTCCTACAGCTGCTGTTGTTGCTAATCTGGACCTACAGCTGCTGTTGTTGCTACTCCTGTCCTACAGCTGATGTTGTTGCTACTTCTCTCCTACAGATGTTGTTGTTGCTACCCCTGTCCTACAGCTGATGTTGTGGCTACTCCTGTCCAACAGGTAATGTTGTTGCTAATCTGGTCCTACAGCTGCTGTTGTGGCTACTACTGTCCTACATCTGCTGTTGTTGCTAATCTGGTCCTACAGCTGGTGCTGGTGCTACTCCTGTCCTACAGCTGATGTTGCTAAGCTGGTCCTACAGCTGCTGTTGTTACTACCCCGGACCTACAGGTGCTGTTGTTGCTGCTCCGGTCCTACAGCTGCTGTTGTTGCTAATCTGGACCTACAGCTGCTGTTGTTGCTGCTCCTGTCCTACAGCTGCTGTTGTTGCTACTCCTGTCCTAAAGCTGTTGTTGTTCCTACTCCTGTCCTACAGCTGATGTTGCTAAGCTGGTCCTACAGCTGCTGTTGTTACTACCCCGGACCTACAGCTGATGTTGCTGCTCCGGTCCTAAAGCTGCTGATGTGGCTATTCCGGTCCTACAGATGCTGTTGTTGCTAATCTGGAACTACAGCTGCTGTTGATGCTACTTCTGTCCTACAGATGTTGTTGTTGCTACTCCTGCCCTACAGCTGATGTTGTGGCTACTCCTGTCCTACAGCTGATGTTGTTGCTAAGCTGGTCCTACAGCTGCTGTTGTTACTACCCTGGACCTACAGCTGATGTTGTTGCTGCTCCGGTCCTATAGCTGCTGTTGCTGCTAATCTGGTCAAACATCTGCTGTTGTTGCTACTCCGGACCTACAGCTGCTGTTGTTGCTGATCTGGTCCTACAGCTGTTGTTGTTGCTAATCTGGACCTACTAGTACCAGCTGCTGTTGTTGCTACTCCGGTCCTAAAGCTGCTGTTGTTGCCTTACCTTATTATTGTTATTGTCAGCAACACGACGACAAGTTACCAGTGCCCTCCGCCAGCTGCTTCCAGTCATACAAATGGACACTGTCTTACAAGAATACCCAAATTAGCAAAAGTTATCCCTCAAATGTTTTCAGTTGTGTCGAAATAGGTCTTTGGAACATACTTCGCGGTATTTCAGTATTACTTGTTTGTTTAATCATGATGATGAAATTGTTCACTTAAAAGAACCGGTGCCTTTAGCAAAAAAAACCATTTATTCAAGGGTCCGTCAGTAGGTCGAATGCCGTTTTTCCAGTCAGAGCCCTTGGTCTAGTGGTCTAGTAGTTTGAAATCTCCCGAGTTAAGATGTCAGGCTTTGTAAAATAATATGATACACTGTATTGAATCCAAACTCACTCACTCACTCACTCAACACGAATGAAAGTTTTACTTCTAAACCTTCAACAAACAAGAGCGTAAACGAAACAACTTGTACACTTTTAAATAAATAAACCAAACATTACCTGAGAAAAATATTTTTCTTCATCTATGGATTGTATTTCCCGCGAAATCGCCTTATGTTGAATGTCAGAAGTGTTTGACACTCCGCTAACAGGATCCCCGACAGGTGGACTAAGGGCCTGCCAGGTGAACGGCAACAGATGGGTTCTTGTGTACAACCGTAAATCTAAACTGGACCAAATGATCACAAAACGTTGTCAAAACGTTTCTAGGCTGAAAACAGTCGTCCAAACAATGCATACTTTAGTCCAAAACACAACTATGATTCCCGTATAAGATACATTATCATCAAATAGCCATTTCTTATTTGTTTCAGATTTAGACACCATCAAACACGGGAGTGTACTTTCTTTTGCCCAGCAGTTTAGTTAGAGGGCATCGTAGAGAATTAAAAAAACGTATTTATTAAGATCTGTCATACTGATTTTGGGGGCGGTCGGGTAGCCTAGTGGTTAAAGCGTTCGCTCGTCATGCCGAAGACCCGAGTTCGATTCCCGACATGGGTACAATGTGTGAAGCCCATTTCTGGTGTCCCCCACCGTGATATTGCTGGAATATTGCTAAAAGCGGCGTAAAACCATACTCACTCACTCAGCAACGATACGCTTTGACGTCATCTACTGTGACGTCCGCCCGGAGAGCGGAAGGTCAGGAGTTGGATCCCCGGCCGCGTCATAACAAAATACGTTAAAAGATGGTACTTGTTTCAGATTTAGACACCATCAACACCGGAGTGTACTTTCTTTTGCCAAGCAGTTTAGGTAGAGGGCATCGTAGAGAATTAAAAAAAACCTGTCTGGCCTCAGCATTAAAGGAGCTAAAACAAGGACTGGTCGGCTCGGAGTCGGTATACTGTGTCTGAGTGGAGTATTCATGTCAAACTGCGACATGGTATCTCAGTGTGCTAGCATTATCAAGATTGGTACAAACAGCCACACACACACATGCGCTTACATGCACGTCGCTATATAAGTGTAATCATCTTGAACGCGACGTTAAACCTCATTTCACCTCACCTCAGCTTTTAACGTCTTTTGGTATGACGCGACCGGGAATCGAACCACCGACTTTCCGCTCTCCTGACAGATGTCCTTTCCACTAGACCACGAAGGCGGCTGCTCCTATAAAGAGACATTGGATATGTGGTGAGGTGAAATGGGGTTTAACGTCGCGTCCAAGGTGATTGCACTTATATAGCGACGTGCATGTACGTGTGTGTGTGTGTGTGTGTGTGTGTGTGTGGCTGCCTGTACTAGTCCGGACTGATGCCGATTTATAGTGCTAGCACACTGAGATACCATGCCGCATGTTAACATGAATACCCCACTCAGACACAGTATACTGACTCTGAGCCGATCTGTCCTTGTTTTAGCCTCTAAATGCCGAGCCCCAGACAGGGTAACCATCTTTTAACGTCTTTTGGTATGACGCGGCTGGGGATCGAACCCCGGACCTTCCGCTCTCCGGGCGGACGCTCTACCATTAAACCACGGAGGCGGTCCATTGGATATGGGATAAAAGAGACCCTAGAATCTGAATACCCCATGTTAGACATCTCGAAAGAACATGCCGACAATTAACCTTATATAGAGCTGCGGTATTATCAATTGTGCCTGGCACATGAGAATAGCTCAACCCCTCAACACCCTCTCCGCAATGATTAATAAAACGCCCAATGTTATGAAAAGAGACAACACGTGTAGATTTCTCATCTCGAGTCAGTTGCGGATCAAGTTGAGAAAATTCCTCCAGATTTCCAATCTCTAACACCGCCCTCCCAAGACCATCACCCTGGCTGCCACCTAGAAGAAAATACTCTTCAACCCACGTCGAGGGAACACTACTCGCAAAGATTCATCCTAAAACATGGAGCATCTTGGGTTGGTTGCATTGTATGCGCGGCACAGGAAGAAAATAGTCTCAGAAGCTGAGAACATTAGGAAATAACATGGGTTAATTTGGCTTCTCCGACGGTCTAGAAAACAGCCGTGTTGCTTCCCGCCCTGCCCAAATATTCATCGACTTGACTTTATTCTCGGGATGACATTTGTAGCCCGGCTACACTTTGTAGGAAAGAGCCATTTTCTAGCTTGCTACCAATGTTGTAGCTGTAAAACGACAACGCCCTTATGTTTTAACAGCTTCGCCGACGTAAAGAAATGAATGATAGGAGTACTAAGGTATATCTAGACACTGATGTGACTTTCTTTCGCCGCTCTGCAAATATATCTGAAAAGGTTTATCACATTATTCGCATTTAGGCACGTTGTTTCAAGCAACTGAATGCACTACTCATGGAAGGCAGTGGTACCAACAACAACAACAACAACAACAACAACAACAACAACAACCCTCTTACCTCAATCGCTTATATTTAATGGGAGGGCGTGGTTTGATTAACGTTGGGACTCTTCGTGATGGAATTGTTTTGTGCACTTTTGCACACACTTATTTGTCTGATGATTCTCTTGCATATTAAGACTCATGATCAGGCATTTGACATTTTACGTAAACGAGCTAGGGATGTGGGACAATGTCAGAGTTGATTTTGTTGATGGTTCTGTACTGCTGGTACAGAAATGAGTGTCAATCAAGCGAAGTGCATGTCGAATCGGTCCAGATTCATTTTTTCAAGGAGAGGCTATCTGAACGACCAATGCATCGAGTTTAAGTGCAGCAACCCCGCAGAGTCCTTCGCTTGGATGAAGTCGACTGGCCTGAAAAGTGAAACAGAAGGCTTTCTGTTTGCTGCTCAGAATCATTGACTTCCCACTCGAAACCGTCAATGTGTGATTTTGCATCAAAATGTAAATACGAAATGTAATCATGTAATAAATTTAATGAGACTATCCAACACATTGTCAGTGGATGCCCAGCTTTGGCACAAACACAGTATCTTGAGGTACATGGTGGAGTGGCTCGATCATTTTATTACCGTTTTTGCAATGCTTGTGGTTTCGACACAGAGGTCCATCCATGGTGTCTAAGGCGCTTTTTTTCTGGGCGAGTTGCATCCCTTGGGCGTGTCAGAAACCTATGATCTAGGTTCGAGTCCCTGATTATGTATTTTTTCTTAATCCCACCGAATCGTTGATGTAATTGATCACAAGATAATTGATCATCGGATTTAACGAACTACTCCTTTGGAATTTCAT